AAAAAACTTTTCCCCCTTTGTACACAATATATTTTAATTTGGAAAACATTTAAAATATTTTGGAGCAGTAAACATGTCAGGCTAAATAATTCAAATTAATTATTGACTTTTGCTGTCTTCATCTGTTTCAAAAACACATATATATATTTTTTTTTTTTTTACAATTTAATGGCATCTTTGGGTATATTTTCTGTTGATGATACTATTGCCTTAAAAAACAAAAATGTAAATAAAAAATATTACTCATACCTTAGGAACAGTATTACAGAAAATTTTGACAGTTTTAAAACGTTGACTTTTCCAAGCCGCGGTATACCTTGAACACGGTTATCGTCCCATACCTAGTTCTGGCTGGGCCATTTTATGGATGTTTCCAATTACTGGGTTGCAGCTTGAAAGGCATACGCTGTGTAAAACATATGCTGGATAAGTTGGCAGTTCATTCCGCTGTGGCGACTCTTGATGAATAAAAGGACTGAGCCGAAGAAAAATGAATGAATGAATGAAAATAAATAATGTGTTTCTTCACTGAATTACATTTTCTACAGATTCTTTAAGAGGAAGGTCATAAATGGTTGTGCTTTTACTTCTGTTCTAAAATTTCATTTTGTGTTTAGAAGTTGATTGCATGCCCTCTACTGTAATCATTGAGTGCAAATTTTGACTGATGTTCTGTAAACACATGTCAGGTCTAACCTGTTACACAGAGATACTGTTGCATCATTCTCAACCGCATACAGCATGAACTGTCCAATCTATCATGTTTTAGAGCTTTGTTTTTGACAAGACATATATTATATCAACATTGGGGATATTATTATTGCATATTTGTTGAATATGGAAGATTTTTCATTTTTATTATAAAGCCAAACTTCAATTCAGTGACCCCGTATTAATAAAGGGACTAAGCGGAAAAGAAAATTAATGAATGAATGTAATGGCCACAGATATTTATTGGCCATAATTTTGATCAATTTTAAACTATCTAAACTAATTTAACACAACAAAAATATTTACACTGCACTTTTATAAGAACTTTGCTGATATGAAACAAGATCGAAACAGTGTTTTAATTTTGAAGACAATAATTCACAAAAGTGAGCAAGTTACAAATATTGGCCAGTACTTTGAAAAAAAAAAGATCAAAACGTAATGTTTGTTTACTTTAACATTGTTTAAACTTATCTTTTTTAAGTTAAACAATTCAAATTGATTTAAAGTGCTTTTAGTTTAATATACTTAGTATAATATTACTTTATATAATATTAAAAAATTATAAAAAGTACTGGTATTATATTGGCATACTGTAGATAAACAAACAAATAAAAAGTAAATAGTCAAAAAAATAAAGTTGTGCAAAAGCTGCAGATCTTCTTTCAAAAAGTATAAACATTGCTTGAGCATGAAAGGATTGGAGAATCAACAAGACAACCTTTGTTATCGGTCATTTACAAGACACTCATTAAATGCCACTGCACTCATTCTAGATTGACTAGCCCCTTTGGGACATGAAAGCCCAGTAAACGCCAAAACTCACCCTTATGAAATAAAATGATGAGGGCTGACACAAACATCTCCTAAACTTAAAACTGGCAGATTTATATCCAAAGACAGAACATTATGTGAGCGTATCCTAGTAATGTAATGATAGGCATCCTGCTAGTGGTTTTACAGGACTTGGTTTCCATTTGCTCTGAGCATTATCAAAAGCTGAAACATGAAGCTTTTAGAAAAAAAAATACTTTTTTACCATGCTTACAATATTATCACACACTCGAGCCTTAACTAATGATGCATTGGTTTGGCCTCATCCATCCTGATTAATCTTTCAGAAGTTCATCCAAATATTCAGTGGCCCTCAGCCCACTGACAGTGATTCCCCAGCCAAGAAGGGACAAAGAGACATTGAAAGCTTCAGTTTTCTGAACCGGCTAGGACCTTGGCAGAGTTTTATGAGGTTATATCATCATTTTATTATATTGATTATGATTTAAGCCCTTAACTCTATAATTGCAGGGGTTGTTTTAGTCCAAATATGGGTAAAATGTGCCCATATATAATAAAAATAACATATATATATAATAATAACAACTCAACCACTGGTAATTTTGAAATTTAATCCAACAGTTGGGTTTGTCCAAATCTGGGTTAAAACTACTTTAGACTGTTAAAGCTTTAGAATGAATCCATCAAAAGTCAGTGACAATAAAACTGACAAGTTTCATAAAATCCAGAAATACGTGCCAAACTAGCTCTATTTTAATTTGTCACATTTATGTGGGTCAGACTTTAGATTAAAGGCCTTCTCACACCTGATAACTAAAAAATGCTGCAGTATTTTTAACCCAATTTGGGGACAAAAACAGCAACTTGGTTCATCTTTTTAATCAATTACATTTTTAGGACCAAATTTAACCCAAAATTTGAATTCATTCATATTTTGTCATAATGTAGAGTTAAAGTAATAACAATAAAGGTAAAGTAAAAAATAATAATAATAATTTCAAAAGAATATTGGAGCAAACGTAGAGCTATAATAATAATGACTGAGATGAACGCTTTCAGCAACATTAACTTCAGCAGTCAGCCATCATAAACAGATCAATATTGTGTGATGATGTGGATGCTTATATTAGACTTTATAGTTGTTTTTAAACTCAAAACATTTTTTTAAAAAGGAAAAAGGTTTCATTTGTACTGGAGGATTAGTTTCTGATTTAAAACTCTTATTAACACTATTACAAATTTAATTCAGCTGTTGAAAGACATTGCCACAAAGGTCAAGGCTGTAGTTTAGTTCAGTAAATTATAGTGCGAGTATGATAATGGCATAACTCCTTTAACTAATTCAATTCACTAGAAATACTGTACAAGGTCTCTCTACTTTGTATAAACGCTAAATGCAGAATTGGTTGCCGAATACTTTGCTTATAAAATAACCCAGGCCACTTGTTTATAAGTGTGTTTTGCATGGTAACAGTGACTGGAGGTTTTCTTCTTCTTATTTTATATTAACTTAATCTTTATCCCTTTTCAGAAGGAACTGAGCCTTCCACGGAGAGGAAATATGTGAGTACTTTTATTTTTACTTTACAAAATATGGTCACTGAGATTTTATTAGCAATCATATTAGTATTTACTTTCAATTTGGACATTTCTATACTGGCATTTCTCACCATGCACCACTTAAAATCACCAGAATAAATTTGTTTAAAAGGTCTGTTACAAGTAATTTATATCTTTTGTTAATAACTGAAATATCACTTCAATTAAACCAAATACAATTTATCTAAAACTATTAAGTTGGTCTCTATTGAAAGGTTTAGAAAGCTAACAATTTTTTTTTAAATTGTGTGAATTTGAATAAATATGAAATTTGTAAACTTGCTTTTACATGTTCGCTTGTATTGAACTAAAAAGCGTTTAAGAAAGGTTATTGCATTAAATCATTTGTCAAAAATAAAAATGCAATAAAAGTGTGTTTTTTCTGTAAATATTTATCTGTCTATATCAGTTCATAATATAAAATATTTATGATAATGTGATATTTTTAGATTTTTAGATTTTGTATTATATAAAATTTTCTATTTATTATTAATCACTGACATTGACCCTAGAAAATCCACTTTGTATGTACAGAAAGCATATTAAATGCATAAGGTTACTGTTATGTCTAATGCAAAAATAAGGCTTAAATAATTCAGCCTAACAGATGTATTTTGTAAAAATGAAGCTAAATACTTCTGACCATTGCTTTTTAAAATTTGCAAGCGTAAAAAATGGGGGCAGCACGGTGGCGCAATGGGTAGCACAATTGCCTCACAGCAAGAAGGTCGCTGGTTTGTGCCCCGGCTAGGTCAGCTGGCATTTCTGTGTGGAGTTATTTATGTTTTCCCCGTGTTGGCATAGTGTTAATGGTGCTCCAGTTTCCCCCACAGTCCAAAGACATGTGGTATAGGTTAATTGAATAAACTAAATTGCCCGTAGTGTGTGCAAGAGTGTGTGGGTGTTTCCCATCGACTGTGTAAAACAACAGCTGGATAAGTTGGCGGTTCATTCCGCTGTGGCGACCCCTGATGAAAAAGAAAATGAATGAACAAGTAATGGGCGGCATGGTGGTGCAGTGCTGCTGCATCACAGCAAGAAGGTCACCGGTTCGAGTGAATGCCCTGGTCCTCCAGGTTGGTGGTCGAATGTTAGGCTAATGACCCACCTTGTTAAAATGAAATATTATGAAACACCAACATAATGCGGCTAAATATCAACTTTGATATAAACGGTCCTGGGAGTAAGTAAAAAGTAATGACCAATCAAAGTACATCTTAAAATATTTTGTACGATTACATTTATTTTTGCTGACAGTGGTTTGTGGTTAATGGAAAACCTGGTTTGTTTAAGTGTAGTGGTATAACATATAATGAATATAACATTGCAGTAATATTTTAGGGCTGCATTGTGATCCCTAAAGGTGGTTTTAATATGTCTTCAAATGATCTATGTCATAAATTAGCCTGACAAAGTTTTATCTGTATATGACATTTTAGTAGGTGTCTTCTGTAAATACTGGTAAAAATGTAAATTTAAACACTCAAAGTTTGAAATGTACCATCCTTAGTTTCATTTGCATATAGTTTTTAAACAATTGTTCTAATTGTTTTGTATATCCAATGAAAAAAGCTCTGGGCATCAAATCTGTAAGTAAATGTGGAAATGTATGAAATAAACATCTAAATAAAACATTTTTAAAAATCCATGATAGTCAATATACTTGCTTAGTCAAATATATAGCCTAAATACAAATGTTTGAAACCCCATTTTCGGTTTGGACACACATTAGTCTTAAATCCATATAAGAGGAAAGGATCCCAGAAAGTTTGGGACTTTTGACAACCATATGCAGCATTGTTAACCTATTACACTGCTTTACCAGTATGGGACACTCTCCGCATGCTGAGTTCAAGGAGGCGGGTTTATTTGCCCGGCACGGTGACGTTCAAACCCCTCCATAACCCCTTCTTTGACTCACACTCTATGACAACTTCCTCCAGTCCGCGCACCCGCTTTTCTTTTATTGTTGCCCTAAACTTGAAGCGGTTACAGTTGTGTTTGCGGTAACGTTACCTTTAAGCCGCGTCTGTTTCGCCGTGACAGGACTCGAGTATAACCAGGCGATGGCCTTTTCCAAAGCAATGTGGCAATGTGTCACTTGTGAGAAAATAACGCGGTGATGGCATCGGCTGTGCTGTACTTAAGGCTCTTTCTGTCTGCTCCACCATACTGCATGCTATGGAGTCCGTGTCTACATGGAGTTCGTCCGGGAATTACATTAACGTTAGGCGTCTTCGGTGCTTTTACGCGTCGCAATGCTGCGGTAAATCTTCCATGAGGATCTGTGAACTGCGGGCATAACGAAGACCAACACCAACACCATCATGTCTGATCGGAATTACTGGACGGTGTGTCCAAGTTATAAAAGTCAATTCGTCTCAGGAGGTTTAGTCAAACGACCCAAGAGGTAATGGGACATATTACAGTATGTTTTCATTGTGGTTATTTATCAGTGTTTGTCCGCAAAACTTGCCTCAACTTGAAAAAATTCCACAGGCGCAGCCGCCAGAAATGTGCTTGGTAATGTAGACTGTTAAAATACGAAATAACTAGTGAAATATCAGATAATGTGTGCTTTAACGACCTCTTTGTGGACAGCATATACTTTGTTTTTCCACCCAGTTGTTTTTTGTTTCCGATAGTAACGTAAACGTGGCCCATGTTCGGCTGAGCGTCTGCTGCTCCTCATTGTCCTGTTGGCGGTGGATTGCTAGCGTTTAATGTTTATATACAGTCCAGCCGTCTGTATGTGGGGTTTGTGATGACTCTGCAATTTAATTATATGTAGGTTTTAAGTCTTTGTCAAGTTGAGTATAGTTGGTGTATAGTTCTTAGGCGTAAGTTAATCAGAAGTTGATAGGGCGTTGAGGTCAAATAAGGCTCTTATTGTTTTAATACTTAATGTAATATACGGCTAAGCATTCTGTTAAATAGTTTGTGAGGTCTTGTTACAAGCATGACCAGCAAAACTAAACATTTTTAAATGTACAAATATTTTCTAAATAAATTACTTTATTACTAATTAGACTAATTTAACAATCTTAAAATGTGCTCACCCTTTGGTCATTAAAGATATGGATGAGTTATTTTAATGGAACATTAAAGATTTATAGCTGGAAGTCAGATTGGTCTTTGGATATTCATAAAATGTAAGTCAACAGCTACCACCTACATTTAGAGTTAAAAACATACAGGCAAAACAAAATTATTGCCTCTCTCCTGAGGTCTTGTGAGGTTTGTGTTTACATTACAAATTTTAAATCACAAACTCAGTAATAGGGCTGGGTGATTTATCGAAAAGTAATCAAAATCAACATTCAGAACCTGTAATTGATCGATCAATCGATTTTATATATATATATATATATATATATATATATATATATATATAATATATATATTTTTTTTTTCCCCCAAGTGAAATTTTTTTTTTCCATTACTTTCCCTATCATGTGTAAAGGCACTGCTGTGTTAAGGCTACTTTTGCGTCGAATGCATGGATATGGTTCGGCGCAGCCTTCATGTGGTTGCATACTTATCTGAGCACATTACATGTGAAAATATTTTTGCACAAAACTTACTAGTGAACTATGAGGGCAAAAAATTAAATAATTGTTCATTAGTTGTAATCGAGTTAAAAAGTTCAATTAATATTAATCTAGATTTAGATTGTAGGCCAATTTACCCAGCCCCGCTCAGTAAATAGTCCTAATTGCATTCACTAGAGTTATAATTGAAACTTACTGTTGCACAATGATGTATTTGTCACATGAGAACTGGCGCTTTGTCAGTTGGAGCTACCAGAGTAAAAACCAAAAAGTATAATTTTAATAAAATTGCAACACAGCCACTGTTTTGTAAACAAACCGCCGATGCTCATGTGTCTAATACACAATTATGCAACAAGAAGCTCATTTTTTAAGACTGTTTAGATTACCCTCAGGATCATTTGTTGAGTCTGTGTGGATTTAAAGGTAATGCTCTTGCACAGATTAATATTTTCATTTTATAAGACACCAGTGCCTTGTCAGGAACCAATTTTATTAATTAAAAAACTGCCTGGAGGTGTTGAGTTTTTTTTTATGAAAGACTGGAGTCTGGCTTCAGCTAAATAAAGAAACTTTAATGCATCCAGGCCTATAGATGCCAGTATAAAGTTTTGAACCACTAAGCCTTTGGACAAAATAAAGCCAACTAAACTACATTGTTGTTAAATTAGATGAAACTTTCAGAGAGGCCAAAGACGCTTAACGTTGCTTAATTCAGGGGTCCATAACCTTTTTATTACCGCGGACTGGTCAACACTTGACAATCTTACCGCGGACCAGGGACGGTAGGGGTGGTGACAAGCTGACAAAACATCGCTGATACAAGTTTTATTTATGGATAAAATTACAAAGCACTGCTGTGTTTGGGTGTTCTGTGTTTGTCTGAGATAGTCAACCAAAATGTGTATATTCCATGAAGCCGAAGCTCATTGGTCAGTTCTTGTCACGTGACTGGCGGTGCACTCGGGGGATTCATTCAACTGGGTGCGTCTGGAAAATCATGCCGATTGGGCGCACAAATCGTGCTGACTCGCGCACCTATTGGAAATAACGAACTTGCGCGAACTGTAGAAAACATGCGATATAAGGATGGCCCCTAAAAGGCTGCAGTCATTTGCAATCTCCAGCAGTTGATCTTCATGCACAGACATGGTGGATTTACCTGATTTGTTGACATGAGTTGCAGATCCATTCCTTGGCAGTCCATGGGTTCTTCACTGGGCCTTTTCCCCTTTGCAAAGAAACTTTCCTAAGCCGTCTGTTTCTTACTCATTTTTGCTGCTTGTGGGTTAAAATTGGGCGCTCAAGTGAGCGAGATGTAAGTGAGAGAATACAGTCATTTTTCAAAATAAAAAATCGTTTAGACCCACATAATAAATAAAATAGAAATAAATAATAATTTCTTGTGCGGCCTGGTACCAATTGAGGCCTGGTGGTTGAGGACCACTGACTTGCGTTACACTACTTGTGTAGCTTGAAATGTGAAATATTTTAATAAAAACTTTTTAGACTGGTCCAGTACTAAAGACGCTATTCATATAGAAGCATGTAATAATACTGAGGGCTGTAAACATTGTATTTTTAACAAATGTTTTTTTTTTTTTTTTTCCTCAGTAACCGGAATAAGAGGAAGAGTCTGGCTCCCTCACCTACTCTATCAAGACCTCTCTCACCCCTTCATTTGCCAACTGGTAGCTATAATTACTTCTCTTGTAATTAAAATAATGATAGATGTTGGATTTATTGTGTGCTTGATGATAAATGCGGGGTAGCATATTATGCTTACACATCCATCTCACTGTTTGAATATTCCAGTGTCAGTATCACTATGTCAATAAAGCCTGTCAACTGAGTGCCAGTCAATACACAACCACTTTGGCATCCAATGTCTATATAAACTAAAGATAATGTGCATGCTGACCATGAAAGGTATGTTTTCTACAGGCAGCAGTCCACTGGACAGTCCCAGAAATGTCTCTGGCAGTCCATCTGTCAATTTTCCATTCATTCGGAGGTAAGAGCTGAAGTACAAGCATGTCTAAATGCATATATATTAGTCATTTATTCAATGTCATCTGTTCTTTCATAACGGCAGTATAAAAGCAAGGATTAAGGGTGCAAAGGTTTTTAGCAGGCCAGTATGATTCTGCTTTCGCTGTAGCTGCCCTTAAGGCTGTACCAGGGATGGGAAGCTTGGCATTTGTCACAGCAATTAGAGTGAAGTCAGTGTGTAGCCTCATTACTTTACGCTGTTGTGATTATGTACTGAGGCTCCATCCGCTTTTATTAATGCTTGCTTTAAATGACGGCAGTCTACAAGGCCTGTACAGCTCAATGAAGACTGAGTGAGATGCTTTAGGTTGTCTTTAATGTGTCCTGGATGGGTAAAGATGTTCAAGATCTTAACTAGAGCACTGTTTATCTCTTTTTTGAAGTTTTATTGAAATCTGTCCTGACATTAAAGGAAAACTCCACTTTTTTTTCCACACCTAAAGTCACCTAAACTTGAGTATTGCAATTTTTAAAATCTATTTAGCCAATCTCAGAGTCAGACAGGAGCACTTTTACAGGGTGTCCGCGGGGTCTTAAAAGTATTAAAAGTTGATAAATCAATGTAGAAAAATGTAAGGCCCTTAAAAATATTTAAAAGTCTTAAATGCTGTTTCGCAAGGTATTAAATTTTATGTCATTTTTGATTATACAATGTATTGTTGTATGCTAAAGTTTGCCTGAATAAAATCTGCAAATATCAGGATGCTGTGTGGTTTATGAAATCCTACTAGATTTGACATCATGCTGCTTTGTTTACTGCAGTGAGCAAGGCAACACCATTATTTCTGCAGTTCTATAGGCGCCACCTGCTGAATTAGCTAGATTTAATAGATTTTTATTCAGTATATGAATGTTTTAGTTTTGGATTAGTTTCTTACATTAATTTTTAGTAAAAATATTGTAATTTAAAATATTGCCAGTGTTTCTGGTTGAAAAGTGGTTATAAGGGCTTAAAATGTATGAAAAGTGTCTTTATAAAGGTCTTAAAAGGTACTGAATTTGACTCACTAATTCCTGTATGTTTAATACTGTTTTAGCTTAGCTTAGCATAGGTCATTGAATTGACATAGCATTAGCATCTACACAGTATTTAAAAAAGAGTTTTGATAATTTTTATATGTAATATAAGTTTGACTATTGTATAGCTACATTTTGTGTATATTGTGATCGTATTGAACATTTTGATTGGCTGTTCAGCTAAGACTAAAATGACAAAAGTGAAATGACAAAGCAAATGATGCACATCAAGAGGGGGCATAAAGAAGCCAGCTTTAATTTTGTCAGATTTCTTAAATGCTGCTTTGTTTTGTATGTGTGCAGCACTGTTTCTGGTTTCCCCTTGTGGAATGCCAATATAGATTCTGCCACTTGCAGATATAGAAAGGTACATCCTCTAGCGCAGGTGATTTGTGCTAAGCTAAACAAAGCTAAAATGGCTCCTGACAGACCCAGAGATCAGCTGAATGGAATTAAAATGCTAAAACTCAACTGTTTAACTTTGACTTTTGTAAAAGGCCTATTTCCAAAGAAAGTGAAGCGTTCCTTTAATATGCACATTTTACAGGTGTTGTAGTGTCTGTAACATTTGAGCTTCAATCAACGTGCTGTGTCTAAATGCTTGTTTGGTTGGTCAAAAAGTCCAAATATGGTCTGAGAGCAAAAAAGTTCTCTGTCTGATAGTTGTCTTACAGTCCTGCATTAATTATGTATTAATGAATATGCAAATGACTATTTCGCAATGTTAGATTGAAAGAGCAGAAATGTCTACAAGCATTGCCCATAGCCTCTCCCTTCGAAGACATAATAAAAAAGTAGACAAAAGAAACTAAATAAAACACCAGACATCAAGTCTACTTGTGATCTGGTTGACCAAACTGTGTTATTACTAGGTGTGAACAGGGCCCTAGTCTAAGTAGAATGATCCTCTTAATACTTTCAAACATCACAAAAAAAAAAACCGCTGTCTCTGCAGCACACAAAGATGCAGTTAATTGTTAAAATGTGTAAGCTATCTAATAGGGCCTCAGAATATATCTTTTTAGCATCGATATCACATTGTGCGCATTCGCAATAGTCACATCACAAGATCACCATCAATAATGTACATTAGAGATTTATGTTCATCTAATATACAAACAATGTTTATTTCATTACTTTAATTATATGCGCGATATATCATACAGGTATTTAGTAGCTGTGAGAATGACACTGAGCACCTTCTTCACACTTACTCTTTTCTGCTTGTGGGAAAAGTTGTTTGTGATAAGCATTGGTTCATTATGTAACTTTCTCATCACTAACTGCATATGACTGTGTTAACATGTCTAACTTTTTAATAAAAGATGTGTAGATGTTCGTTATACAAAATACAGACATATTACCTCTATAAATTAAAAAAAAAATTTGGTAGTTTACTATAAAAATGACAGTTAAAATAACGGTTAAATACTGTCAACCACAGCTGCCATTTATTTTTTACACTGTAGTGCTATTCAAATCGTCTTCTATCACAATATCAGATTTTTCTAATATAGTGCAGCCCTTCTTGATATGTTTAATGTTTGCTCTCCCATACACTGCAGTTTAATATAATGTGTGCTCAATATTTTTGTTTAAGATTTTTTAAAAATATTTTGTTTACCTTTCTTTCCTGAAAAAAAGTCATGAAAAATGTATTGCAGTTACCAAAACTAGTTAAATAATCAAAGATTTTTATTTTCTTCACAGTAGGGATGCACCGATATGGATTTTTTAACTGATACGATAACCGATAATTCTTCAGACTTGGAGGCCAGTAGCCGATATGTATAGGCCGATAATCATAAATATTTTAAATTGTTATATTTTTATACAGCAAACTTCATAAAATATTGAACTGCTCTTATGAACTGAATAGCCTATACTCAAAGCAAAAAAGCTATAACTTCAAAATTGCAAGGTGATTATAGACCTATATTCACGATTTCACATAAATTAGCATGCAAAAAAATATTTCCTTTTCTTCATAGCAAATTGACATGCAAGTTGATTGTTGCTTAAAAATAATAGTTTAAATAACAAAATGGTATTTAATCAACAAGCAAGATAAATATATTTAAATTTAAGATGAAAATGAAAGAGCTAAGAACTGAAACCAGCTCAAATGGTCATGAATAAAACATGTTACAGTGATGTACACATGTACAAATATATCATGTCCGAAAAAGCCTTTATCAGAGGTGTTTTGACAGTTTAGAGCCACCGTACAAGCCAACAGCTAAATACAGATAGTACGTTTAGAAAATACTGCACAGATTCATCCCATTTGGCGTTTTGACATGTCACATGTAGGGGCTGCTTGTCAATCAGACGCTTCTGCGCTCATTCTTGCCGTCAATCGCGGTAAAATGATCGATGAAAAGTTTATGATAAACCGCTGAGAGTTTTACTTAACTGTAGAGGCAGGGTTGCCATCAGAGTCAGATTTTGATACAAAACCTGCATTGAGCTGACTTTATGACAAACACGGAGCAGAATATAAAGACAGAATGAGTGGCTGGTTAAAAGCCCCTTTTACTGGATTCACCTCTTGCCTCTCCCCCGTGCTACAGTGTGTGTGTGTGCGATGACAGCTCGTGCGCTCGTTATAATCAATATGAATATTCCGATCAAACTGAATACAATCTTACATCAACAACACATGACCAGCAACGCATCGATAATAACAAATAATCAGATTACAAACAACCGTTATGTTTATAGGTGTTGTAAAATGTGCGGGTCCTTCAACGGGACTGGGCTGCGGTTTGGGGTGTGTGTGAAAAAGAGGGAGAGAGAAAAGAGGAGCGTTTTTTTCGCAATGAGACCATTTTCTCTGATGTTCCCTCTTTGGTGACTTACTTGTTGTACCACATGGAAAGTAATAAATAGGCAGGTGGGTCTGTACAATTACATAATTTATCGGCTTAAATATATCGGCCTAATTATGACATTGGATCGATAACGATAATCTTAAAAATAGCGTTTTTCGGCCGATAACGATATGGCTGCCGATATATCGTGCATCCCTAATTCACAGTATTATTGTATTGTACTTGTATGTCTTCCTATTTCTCTGCCCTGTTTTAGACCAGACACACGACGGTGGTCTGTGGCGTCTGTCTCGTCTGGATATGGAACAAATCCACCCAGTTCTGCTGTTTCAGTGAGTGGGCCCCCTCAGTTATTCTGAAAATCTCTCTTTGTTTTCGTTTTCTTGAGCCATCAATACGTTTCCTCTGCAGTGTTTTCTTTATATACGCAAAGTATGCACAGAGCAGATGTGTTTAGCTTGTGTATACACGAAAAATATATATCAAATATAAAAATGTTTTGCACGTTTCCTGTTAATTAGTTACTCGACTGTTTATTAGTACTTGTTAAGCACATATTGCTGCTCTATTTTGTATAACATTATCATATTGTAGATCTCTTTACCCTACCCCATACCCAAACAGAACATCTACAGCTAGTATCTTACTTGCTATCAGAAAGCAGTCCTGTGGAGCTTTATTGATTGTAAATATGTGTTCAGTAATCGAAAGTGTTATGAAATGTTTTATCTGCATGCTATTTGTTTTTACTTTTAGAGAGCAGTACAGCAAAAGTACTAATGCAGAACATTAGAGACAGAAATGCGCAGTGTGGTATATATAAATATCCATAGATAATTTTTTGATATATATTATAAAGACTGTATATACTTTATTTTACTATTCTTTTGTGGAAATTGCACTGAAATTCTACTGCTCAAATCATTTGTTATTTGCCTGCAGATTTTTTTCTACTGTATTAATCCTTGTGGATAATTCCCAATGGTGTAAATTGATTTACATTTGTCTTCCCATCAAGAAAAGGAAAAAAAAAAAGCTCCTTTCTGTTTTGAAATGCTGTACAGCCATTCATGGCTTACGCGATGAGGTCAGCCTTGTTCAACAATGTCCTATTGAGTCAGTGTCAGAGAAGACTTTATTCGGAGGGAAACTGTGAAGCTTCTCTGGTTTCCTCCTCCAAGCGCTGCTCCAGTCATGTGCTCTTCTGCTTATTCTCTTCCACTGAGATTTCAGTTTACGCCTGGTCTTCAATTACCCTCTATACCACAGACTTACTTCAAGCTACAATGGAAAATGTCCAATCCTGTAGTTGCCTTGCATAATTGCACAGACTAATAAGCAGCTTTGGATTGTCAGATGCTCACCGCTTGTATTTCATGCAATTTGAGAACGTGTGCCCAGCCTCGCTATGCAGGCTCTTGTACGTTCATAGCTAAACAACTGTTGTGACTTTTTTATTTTGACACGCATCTATAAGAGTGATGCAACAGGCGCAAGTTTGTATGATTTACAAGTCTTTACAGGCACAAGTCTTTACAAAGTCTTTTTTTTTTTTTTTTTTTGGTCAGTAGCGAACAACGTTAGAAATGGATTTATTTAAGTAAAGGTTGAAAGCTTGTAAACTTTTGACCACTTCTGGAGCTTGTGGAAAAAACATTCAATCAGATTGCTTTTGTGGTGTAGACACTCTCACAGCTGATTGCATTTCACTTCAATCGGACAGTCAGCCATTGGGCAGCGTCAACCACTCTGAGACTCTCAGACCAAAAACTTAAGTGACGAAACTAAGCAAATGTCTCGTCAAGACAAGAGGGAAGGCAAAGAAGCCAGTTTTGATTTTGTTAAATTCTTTAAAGTCTGTGCAAAATCAGGATTTACAGTTTTGCTGATCATGCTGATGCTGACGATCATGCTTGATCACAGCCCGAAGATCCTGAAGATAGTGGCAGGGGTTGGCTCGGGCATAGAATCTAAAATCTACTTTAGCCACAATTTATTTAATCTCGCCCCTATTACCATTAGTTTAATATGCGAGAATGATGTGCCAAAAGAATGTTCCTATTCAATTTTTTTAGTTTCTGTTGGTAGTACATCAACATTAAAATAAGTCTCAGCTACTTCTGGTCCACACAGACTTTAAATATTTGCAATAAATTAATATTTGCAAATGATACGGAATTTCAGAGTTCCTCCGTGATCATTTAAAATTTTGCTATTTAAAGCTGTGCACGCTGAGGAAGGCATTGTGCCGAAAAGTTTGTGTTTTGTATCACCTAAAGAAGAATGTAAAATAAAAACTATACAAAGTATTTTAATGAGTGTGAATCATGACCTTCTGAATACTAATAAAAACTGGACCCTAGTTCGTAGTTCTAGTTTGTTATGTATATTGTGGCAGCATTGAACACTCTGATAAGCTGTCCAAACCAAGAACTAAAGTGGAGAAACTAAGCAAATGACGCAAGTCAAGACGGAACTCAAATAATCTGGCTTTTATTTTTTCTGATATCTTAAATGCTGCTTTATTTATGGTTTGTATGTGTGCAGCACTAGCTCTGGTTTCTTTTTGTGGAAAGACATTAGAGATACTGTCACCTGCGGGTATGGAAAAATTCATCCTCTAACACAGGCTCTGAATCTACTTTCTTGTTTTAGTTCACTGTTATCTCGCTGCCTTCTTAATTAATTCATAAACATTCCTGCAAACGGTCTAGCAAGACTAAATTTAAAGTCAGGTTAAAGGTAAAAATGTAATGTTTTCCCTTAAGAGTCCTGACTCTAATGTGAGCTTGCAGTCTTTGACATAGATTTTCAGGTATCAGTTCAAAAACTGAAGCTGCTTTTCTTTTGTGTTCATGTATAAATTGCACAATTGTATTTCGCAATATTGGTTCAAAAGATCAAGAAAGTCTATAGTATACACCCACCCATAGACCTTGTACTTAAAGAATTGTAGAAAGCTGTCAAAGGTGGACAAATGAGACATTTATAGCAGCAGGTGTAAACTAGAAAATGTCTCCCTTGTCTGATCTGATCGAACCAAACAGATTTTATTGAATATGAACACATCCTAAACATCTGAATCTTGCTGTGTTTCTCTCTCTCTTTCTTGTGCTAGTCTTCCTCCTCCTCACAGGAGCTCCTGCACCAGCTGCCCTCTCAGCCCACCCCAGATGACCTCAATCGCCTCTTCAAGCATTTCAGGAGCACAGAGAGTGTGGCAGATGAGGATGGACAGCCTTCTCGTTTCCGTCCTCGCTCCCGCAGTCTGAGGTTTCTGCTTGCTCATTCAGCTAACATGTCAAATGCAGCATTTTCCTATAGAGAGAAAGTAGTAAGCTGGTGAATGTTTACTGTACGTTTGTAACTTCTGAATTTCTTGATGCCAAATGAATAAGGATGAAGGATTAGTTTGGCTTGTACATGCCAAGGTATTACTCACTCTCGCAAAGCTGTGGGCAAAAGTTTGCAAACAGCGTATTTTAATTAGCTAATGCTCGGCAATCCTCTCAGTGTGGACAGATTTGGGCAGATTTGTTGGTTTATGCAGTTTGAGTGATTAATCACCCTGGCAAGTTTGCCCTAACCTGTAAGGAAATTGAAAAGTATGGTGATATGGTTAAAATAAACTCACTACTATAGTTTAAAGGGATAATTCATCCAAAAATAAAAATGTATTCATAGTTTACTCATCCTCTACTTGTTTTATACTTATACGAGTTTTGTGACCCGAGTAAATTACCAGCCGATAATTTTCCTTTTTCTCTCTGCTCCCCATGGTTTCCTGTCAATGCTCTCCACTGTCCCTATTGGTGTTTTTACACCAAATGCGGATTAAGCGTCAAACATGAATGATTTACATGTTAAGTCAACGTAAAGACTTGAATAGACTTCCTGCTGTGTGACAGAGACAATGCTTGAGTTGGAAAATCTAAACTTCAGCTGACATTTGCGCCATGTTAACCACTTTGAAAAGAACACAATGATTTCCTATTACAAGACATTGCATTAACTTTGCTTTTCAAACCAAAATAAATGAAATTGCCTATAAAAATGCAAAAAATACCAATTTCCATTTACTAATAACAAGTTATGAGTCATATATTACTGTTTTAAGCAATGTGTAGCCTGTATATACATTTTACTGTATATTTATGTATACATTATTCATATTTAGTTTTGATGTTATTTCGATTTAAGTGATCAGTAACGACATTAATGCACACAAAGAATTTTATTTTTTTCTGGCTCAGACATTTTAAGTGCAGAGGAAAAAAAGAACCAAGACCTTCACAATTCTTTAGAGGAAAGTCAGTCATGCATGGTTTAAAACAGAATCAAGATGAGTGATTAGTGACAGAATTACATTTGTTTGTACATAATTCTAAAAGTAAATGTGCATGAACACCAATGCAATTTAACTGAAGTATCTTTGTTTTTTTTAGCCCTGGGCGGACATGTGGCTCCTTTGATAATGAAATTGTGATGATGAATCACGTTTACAAAGAACGGTTTCCAAAGGTAATTAAGTTCAGACATTTACATTTTGTTTTCCACCACAGACACGGACGCCACGTCATGTCATCACATGCTATTTACTTTGTTTAAATTGTGGCAGTGGGAAAATTGGAGCCCTGGTTGGTCCAAACAAAATAAATGACAATTGTCACCTACAACGTCTTAGTTCTTTTTTTTATTTTATTTTTTTATCTTTCTTCCAGGCTACGGCTCAGATGGAGGGGCGTTTGCTGGCAGTGATTGCAGACTATTCTCCAGACAGTGCTCCTCCTCTTGCTGATGGAGTGCTGGGCTTCATTCAGCACCAGCTGGTCGAGCTTGTCCGAGACTGTCTGGAGAAGTCCAGAAAGGGGCTCATCACATCCAGCTACTTCATGGAACTACAGGAGAAATTAGAAAATTTTCTTCATGAGGTACAAAAACATGTTGTACAACTGAATTTAAAATGAGAGATTTATTATGTTGTTGAAATTTGCATTTTAAAAAACGCACAGCAATATAAATTTCTGTACAAAAAAGATAAAAATTCAAATTTGCTCATCGTTTACCCTTATTCAACCCATCCGAGTTCCTTTTTTACTTTTAAACACAATGGAAGCTTTTTTAAAGAATGCTGTTTTTTAGCCTTTGACTTCCATAGTAGGAAAAAAGGCAAGAATATATTTTTAGACATTATATTAATTAATTAACCATTAAATTTAGATATTTTTAGAATTGTTTTTAAAAAGCATAAAAAAACAATTTACTGACCCCAATTTTGTAAAGGGTAGCATATGTCTCAATTAAATGTTGCACAACCAACAACAAACCTAATACTATTGGAAAAATTATATATTAAGTACATTTTCTTTTTTATTTTGTTGCCAACCCAGGTTAAGATATTGTAGGGGAAATCTGCGAGCCCTCTCATCCTCTATAGAAAGCCAGGTTCCACACTCTTCAGACTTCAAAATTCAGAAAAATACCAAAAAATATCCGCTTTCAGTGGTTCAATCTGAATCTGTGGGTTAAGCTACGGAAAAAATACGTTTGTGCGGGATAACAACTTACAACAAAGATAACAACTTAATTCAACAGTTTCTTCTCCGCGTCAGTATAGTGTACATGTTGCTCTCAGTCAGGATTCTCAGAGGAAGTTCCGTGTGGGTATTTTGGGCGTGGTGTTATAGCATTTCTTAGTTATTTGTTAATTTTTGATCAATGTCAGTTATTTGTTCAATAAGTTCATCAGTGTTCGATCAATATTAACTATGTATTGCACCACAGGAAGTGTTTTTTTCCACCTGCTTTCTTCAAAGAATGTGTACACGTGACCACTTAAAATCAGTTTTTCTGGATTCCTTAGGTATGGGTTTGATTAAAAGGTTAATATTTGTTTCATACTATAAAGATGTCATAACATTTCTTCAAAATATCAAAGACGAATATTGTCATTTGGAAGAAACATCATAAGTAGTTTACTATAAGTTTTCAGGTCTACAGATTTGTTTTCATATGCCTGTAACTTGATGGAAAGGCTTTAATTGCGGTGCTTGTGTTAACATATGCTTGTTGCTATTACTAGATGCTTTCTGCTGTCACCAATGTCTGTTTTGTTGTTTGCTTTGTTACTAAGAGGAAAGTGTGCCGCACATATTTACAAATTCTTTTCAAACACCAGTCTTAGCTGTGTGTGTGTCAATGCTGTGACGTTCACTTACAGCGCACCATTAAAAAGGTATTTGTAAACCTTTCTGTCCTGTAAAGACCCTGCTATACTAACAGCAAATATCTTTGCCTTTCTTTATTTAGGTGATAAAAGGAAGTTTGAAATAACCAAGCAGCTGCATTCACCTTATTGTGCAATGCAGAAGTAAGCTCTTTTTTTGCAGTAGTTTCAGGACTTCTGATTCATTTGCCTATAGGGCTCTACAAACAAGCGTGTTTATGACTCTAGATAAAAATATTACAAGAAAATACCATTTTTTTTTTACAGTTAAAGGTACAGTGAAGTGCTTTGAAATGTGCATTTTTATTTGATGTTTAACATAATATCAATCGAAACACTAAGGCCCCATTTACACTGCCAGTTAGAGGGCATCTATGGTGAAAAATCTACTTTTCAAGCTGTTTGGACAGACATATGTGTAGGTATAGTGTATTTACCGTCATATTGGGTTGATATAAACACACCCAGTCCTTTTTTTTTTTATTTTAATTTTTTATTTAACAACATTAAAACGGTGGACCAATTGGAGCGGTCTTTAGATCGACCGCAGCTTGACGTAGGAGTGCGGTCCCCCCCGCCCACCAATATTAATTGACAGGTGCGCATCACCATGTCCTCAGTTTGTTGTTTGAGATCCGCCATTTTCAGCATGTGATTCAAGTCACTAAAAGAACACCCTTGCTCTATTTTTAGATGTAAGGCTCATTAGGCTCAACACAAGATCAACATTCACTACATGATCCCTGTAATCGGAATTATTGTTTGTAACTTTAGGTGGGTTTGCAAACCTGTGTACTTTTCATTGCACCTTCCTTAAACTTCAGCCGTTTGGATTTCTTGCGGTCACAGAAGCTCCCTGTGCAGCTGGAACAACTAGGTGCAGCTGGAAAGTGCGAACGTGTTGCCTCATGTGCGTTTTCCTCCATTGGAAATAAAATAACAAACTTTTCTGCAGGTCGCACACCAGAAGTGCAGCTCAGTGACGCTCAGCGCCTCTCACTCATGTTGCTTCTCTCTGTCTGCCAAATACAGCACAGATCGGGGGGAGCTCTTGTTTTGGCCCCCTTTGTTACATTGGGTGGGAAGCCGCAACACACCCCTAAAGCAGTGAGCTGTGTACACTCCCATAAAATAACACTTTTTAACACATTATAAAAAAAAATAAAAAATGTGAACTGTGTTTTGAACTGAACCTAAACTGGCACACTTAGAAGAACCATAATATTAATATTAAATCTTAAAGGTGCAGTAGGTGATCTACCAAAATGCCAACCGCTTAGCACAGGGGTGTCAAACTCAATTCCTAAAGGGCCGAAGCCCTGCACAGTTTAGTTCCAACCCTGCTTCAACACACTTACCTGTAGGTTTTAAACAAGCCTAAAGGACTCAATTAGTTTGATCAGGTGTGTTTAATTAGGGTTTTAACTAAACTGTGCAGAGCTGCGGCCCTTTTGGAACTGAGTTTGACACCTGTGGCTTAGCATATTATCTTTGGACGACAGGGAGGGACTGTGATTCAAAGCCACACCTCCTGAAATAGCGAGCGCGCGCACCGCGTCACAACAGCAGACAGACAACCCACTGGTTCATGTCATTTGCCAGTTAGTTGGTGTTTAGCCAGCGCCGTGCAGGAATTACATTTCTTACTTAGAGACACTTACATGCTATTTTAGAGCGAATATTCAGAGTAGCGTGGTTGTTCAAAAATAACCCAATGTGAATATAAAAGCAACTTCAGCTCAATAAAGCAGGTTAGGCGGAATAGCGCTATTTACTGATGTTTTGTTGTTAAACTAAACATAAATCTACATTATAGATGCTGTAAAAGCACCATATGAAACTGAAAATAATCACATAATTTTTTCGCCGGCAGATTTCACTGGCTGAACAACACGTCTGTGCATATAAGTCATTCATAACAGAACACAATCTGACATAAGCTTAGCCTGACTAAAATAGTTTTGAAACAGAACATTACCTGTCTAACAGTAATACTTCAGCTATGGTGTCGTCCTTCCTCCAGCGTGCTAAAGTAACTCACATATTGATTCAGGTTTTTAAAAGTTTCAATTCAGCATTTGATTTCTCCAGGTCTGTCTCATGACTCCAAGGCGCTTATGCAGACGGGCACGCGCGAATGGCGGATATGCGTCCGAATCTGCATTTTGCTGACAGACATTTTGAGCTGCTTATCGGAATTATGGATGTCAGTCCGACTCTATTTAATTGCATAAACATTTTTTAGTTTTATGCCTTACCCAGAATATAAAAACACACATAAACACATTTAGATCATTTACTGTAATCATTACTATTGGACTGTGAAGAGACTTTCAACCAGCACAACAAAAAATGTTTCTGAAGAGAATAACCTACTGCACCTTTAAAAAAGGGGTAAACTGTGTGCCCTTTAAATGTGACCCAATTCTGAATTTATTTGTTTATTTTTTGCTCATATGTGACAGATCGGATGTCTTCTATGACCGTGTAAATTTGAAGAAAACAAAAAAAACGCATGCATTCGGATATTCAGAGATCGGTTTCAGGCCTCCTTCATATATGGAAAAAAATCAGATATAAATCGCATATGTAGCAATGCGACTATCATGTAAACAGGCCAATTAGATTTATTGAGGAATTCCATTTTTTACATCATGAAACTTGCGACAATGTGGTGCTTCTCCTTCGGTTTAATGACGTAAAAGGAAGAGCGTTTGTGTAGACGCTGACGCGGTAAACAACAACAACAGTGGAAACATAGAGGAGGAGGAAAGTGGTCAGTCGGCACAATTTGCTCCCACTAGACATGAGATCTTTCTCGTACCCATAAATTCCTCTGAAAGGTGGAGGACATCATATAAAAACCAGGCGCAAGCTGCGATGACAGCCCTTTTTTATTTCCCCTGTCTCAAAATCATTTTAAAGTTGGCCGAACTTCGTATATTTTGCAGAGCTAAAAGCAAGACAATTTCTTCCATCGTGGCCAGTGTGTCACATATGCTAGAACCCCCCTTTACGCATGCGCGACGTCAGAAATTGTATAGCAAATGTAAACACGTGAATTGGGTATGGGTCACAATTAAAAGAACGTGTAAACAAGACAGGCAAAAAAAAAAATCATATACAGGCAACAAATCGGAATAAGGCATCAAGACCTGACAGTGTAAACGGGGCCTAAGAGAGGGTGGGACATAGTGTAGCTTTTTCCTCTTAAAAAAAAAAAAAAAAAAAACAGATAATAGTATTTTGTTTTATCACCGCTCTAGCTAAAAGCATCAAATGAAAAGCAAATGAGGAACTTCTTCATGGCGGCGGGGCATGTGAGATACTAGAGAGTAAGTGATTGGTTGTGATTAAATGAGAAACTAGTTTGAGGTGATGTGAATAAAACCGTTGATTTATTTAGGTGGAAGTGACAAACTACAAGCTTTACATGTTTGTATCATTTTTATATTTTCCAAACATGAATTTTGTCACTGTTTCGGAGCACACAAGCTTACAGATATCTTTAAAACTATCAATACTGGTACTAACATTTAAAACTTTATTTCATGGGACTTTTCAAAATCAATGGAAGTAAATGAGAATGGAATTCTTGATATAGATAATTGGGTTTCTGTTATGTGAAAGAATAAGGTCAATACAGTTAACAAATATCCTGATACTACCCACACTACTGACAGTGGCATTTAAATATGTAAATATGTGTTGCACACTTTGCTTTCAGTAGCATGATGAACATGACTAAAAGAACAGTGGTGAGTAACAGCCATTCAAGATGTATTTCAAAACAGCAACGAATGTGGACATTTGCCTGAGCTCTGCCATCCAGTCAGGTCATGTCATGTCATGTTTATTCATCTAGCTGTTTTTATATAGCCATTTCCATTTTGCTTTGGGCCTTAAAGAGAGAGGTAACACAAGATTTCATATACACTCATCTATGAGTGTAGGGATGTATTAATTCATATTGTTGAAATCGATTGGGATATGAGAGGATTTAGATTAGTTGGCATGTCATGCAAATCGCGATTTTATGAACTGCAGGGATCATTGTGTTTATAGTAAACCCACATAACATGCGCAATATGTGGTGATCAGGTTGTATTAATAGTTTAAAGTGGTGACGAGTGTACATGTTGATATTGAGGAAGTTCTATCTTTATTCAAACCGCAGGAGTGCCAGCCCACACAAGCCAATATCTGGCCTGTCATCAAACTGGCAGTATGAATACAACTTTTATAATCTTTGTTTAATGTCATCGATGTAGGTTTTTCATCAGCGCCAGACATCCCAGTGCAGAAATCCCCCCTCTTGCCAGAGAAAGTATATATGCTGAACTTTCCCACTCACTATTCTTTGGCTTGGTCCCTGAATATCCAGGGTCGCTACAGCGGAATGAACCACCTGTTACTCTGGAAAATGTTTTATGCGGTGGATGCCCTTCCAGCTCCAACCCAGCACTGACAGAATAGCACAAAGTCTTAGTTTGTATTAAATACAGCTACTTTATTTATATTAAATAAAGTAAGGGGTTGGAGGGGCGTGTTAAAAAAGTAGTATTTAAATTTATTTGACTATCTGTTTTATTTTATATGGAAATGTTCAGCATTTCAGAAATAATAAAAGATCACCTTATTTAAAAAAAAAAACAAAAAAAAAAACCATTAAATTGTTACATGCCTGCTCGAGTGGTTTCAAAACTTTGAGTTTCTGTTTAATGTTGACCACAGAAGAAGATATTTTGACCCATGTTGTAGTAGGGCTGCCTGATTAATTGATAAAAGATTGTGATCTCGATTCGACCCTACACACCAAATACAACCAAATACATTTTTAAGGTCAGGAAAGAAGTGTAAAGGCTGCCGCTGAAGTCTTCACATTGTTTTATATACAGTGCTCTGCAACATGTACACCTCCAAATGGTGTTGAAAGAGTCACATTCTGTATTTATAAGACTTAATTTACCCAAAAATGTCATTTCTGTCATGTAATGATGTATTCACGGCTGCAAATTCACGCATGAGCTGACACGCTGTTTGTTTACTACCGAGAAGACTCGCCTGTGCTCTTCAGAACCTGCATAGGCTGTAAATAACAGGTAATAGTGTCGTAAGTAACAGTCAGTTTGTTGCACAGAATAGACGTTTGGGAGCTGTGCAGGAAGTATGATTTGCATGTATGCTTTTTCCTCAAAGTGACGGTAGCCTTGAGATGAGCGCACTCGGCAGTGAAAGTGAAATCGGCGCGCACATTTAAATGATCATCTTGCATTTTCGAGATATGATTACTACAAGCATCTGATATGTTTTTTTCTTTCATTGCAAACACAAAGTGTTGTACATTAAAATAAATGCTTAACACTGTGTCAGTATAACTGCACTATACAAAATGTAGCATTTTAACCAACAGTAGACCTACACAGAGGCCTAATTTATTATTATTGTTTTACCACATGTTTGAGCAATAACAATAATAATAGCCTACTCATATTAACCTTTATTTTACATCTACAGAATCGTGATCTTGATTTTAAGCAAAAAAAAAAAAGGTAATTCTTATTTTAGCCAGAATCATGCAGCTCTAAGTTGTAGGACTATAGCTATTGACTTCCATAGTAGGAAAAATTATTTGCTTCCACAGATTCTGATGAATTTATTCATGGTTTTTGGGTTAACAATCCCTTTAATACAGCCACAGCCTGTCTCCTTTTATCCAAGCGTGACTGAGAGCCTCATGACAATCTGAAATCTCAAACAGAATTTTAAGACATTTTTAGACTTGATTCGATCAAGTGATTTTTACCAGATGTCGTATATAAGACTTTGTTATGAAATTAACTCTCTTAAAGACATTTTTAGCACAGTGACATCAAGAAAAATCTTAGAACTTTTATCATATACCTGTATTACAGGGCATCTGCGGGGTCTTAAAAAGTCTTAATGTCTTAAATGTCAAAAGGTAAGTTTTAGGTCTTAAAAAGTCTTAAAAATACTCATGTTATGTTGTAGGTCTTAAATCTTTTTTTAACACGTTTTATTTTTCCCTTGATCATGTATAGCTACCCAATCCGGGCATTAACGCCCATACAATCACCAACAATCCATCTCAATAAAACTTTTAATTTAAAAATAGCATTTAATTACGTTCCTTACTGTAACATATTGCGCTGAAACGTTCTCCATTTATTTACTGCTGAGGAGACTGACCTATATATTTTTTTAATTATAAAATTATTATTATTATTATTGTAGACTGAAGTAATTGTCAGCTATGTTTTGTTCTATACTTGATAAGAGTTTTAGGCTTTGTGAATGGATATATTTGAAATTTAATAAAAAAATATTCAAACAAAATTATTATTATTGTATTATTAAATGTATTAAACCTTGTCCATCTCAGCGAGGAAAGCATCAACTTCAAGTGAGGTGGAGAATAGTTTGAATCCTCCTTGATATCGGACTCACAGTGTGGCTGAATAGCGGATGGCGTATTCAGTGCCTTTCTCCCGAAGCTTTTTCTTCATGTCATTAAATTTGTTTATCTTTCATTTCATCTCAACACTATAGTCTGGTTAGAAAGAGATTCGCTTCTCATTCAGGGACAGTTCACCTTTAATTATAGCCAGTCAAAGAACCTTATTCTTTTCTCTGTAATTTAGAAATTCAGCGATGATGGGTCTGGTCCTGTCGGAAAACCTTCCGACGCGGTGGGCTCTCTCCAGAGTAATCGGAGTAGTGAAGTTTTCCTTCCCTAACAGTTGCGGGATGAGACTTTCTAAGTATCCAACTGTGTCACGGCCCTCTGACTTCTCCGGGATGTTTATAAACTTTATTTTGATCTCCTACTCCAGTTCTCGAGATCATCAGTTTTTTTCCTTTAGGAATGTTATTTCTTTTTCCATCTTTACAATTTGCGCGCAGGAGTCTGTCAAATTGTACTCGTTAGCACCAATCCTGACCTGCATTTCGTCGACCTGGTCAACTAGAGTTGAAAGTGACAGTTAAATTTTGAACAAAGAACTTTGGATTTCGCTTGTTTTATTTATTTGAGATGTAAGTTCGTTGTTACGTTCACGAATCGCTTTCATGAGAGATTTAAGCGATAGTTTTTTTGTTCAGCTGCTATCTTTCGGGGTATCAGGGATCTGACGTCAAATCGTTTTGTTCACTTTCTCACGCCAAAAGTTTAAAAATTTCCTCTGATTAATGGATGAAACATATCTAAGAGAACATGTGATCCAGTTAGAGATAAATTATTACTAGTAAAAAAGTAACAACTGATGTGGCACCCCCGGAGTTCACTGACACGTGTCTTGCTTTGATGCCTGCATCACGTGACTCCCCTTATTAAATGTATTGAATAAAAAAAATTTGATGGGGCAATTAAAAATCTTTTATCACTGAGATTTTTGAAAAAAATCGAGTGTAACCCATGTGTAAGTCTAAATTTTCATATATAATAGTCTTAAAATGGCAGAAACCCTGATACTAGTGCTAAACATCTTATTTAATTGATGGATTCATTTGTTAAATTGTGTATTTATTATTGAAGTGTTCCTGACATGAAAATAGCCTTGGTTGCTGACATGGCATTAAATAAATAAATACATGACTGAGAGCCTCATATCTCTTGACATATCGCCCCAAAAGCCCTGTCTTATTCTTTTAATTGGCCCTATTTGTGCCCTGCTTTCTTTTTTCTAAAAAATGACATCCATTATGCATCTATACAGAAGCATTGAGGCATTTTCATTTAAAAAGACAAACTTGTAATACCAATAACATGTAATATCTAAACAGGCACATGTTGTCCTGGGTTAGTTTTAAAGTAAACTGGCAGCTTTCATTCCTCATACCAAACTGCTGCTGTCATGTGCCGTTTTTGCCTGGAAGGATACTGAAGAGAGCACGCTCGTCGTCTGCTGTGTCTGTGTGGCCTGGCAGTCATGTCAACACTGTGAAGGGAGAGATGGTTAATTAGGGCAAGTGAGAGACTGTTTTGTCTCCACAAGGAGTTTTTGCTTCATGCCTATAAAGTCATGAATAGCAAATGAAGGAAAGGGGCTGATCAAATGAAGCAAGAGGAAACAAGTCGTGGTGCAACGAATTCATTTCTAAGATGCTTGTGTTTTAAAATGTTTTAAAAGATAACATGTTATAGAGTAGCATTTAAATATAACATGTTAAAACGTAGCATTTTCTTTTTTTTTTTTGCATTGCACAGTTGTGAAGTGCTGTCTTATGGGTTTACAATGATACAGCGTTAAATTAATAATGACAGAAATTCATTTTTGGGTGAACTATGCCTTTTTTCTTTAATGTCATTGGAAGCTTAAGGGGTTTTTATGCTCTTATTCCAAGATTGCTTGTCTCTGTCCCCACACTGTGAATTGGGTCACTTATTTCTGTAACTTTTAGCATTTAAAAACACATTTTTTCTCCCTTGTGCTTGAGTCCACCAATCTTCATGCAAAAATTTAGGTTGTTTTGTTTTTGAGCTCGTGTAGTTTATTTGCATTGGCCCTGAATGTTTTTCTTTTACCCACAGGCATATGAGCGCTCTGAGAGTGAGGAAGTGACTGTGATTGCCAAACTCGTGAAGAAGATTCTCATCATTATTTCCAGGCCAGCAAGACTACTGGAATGTCTGGTAAAATGATGATTAACACCGTTTTAAAAAAGCATATGTTTTACATTTATTTACAATTGACATTCATGTTGTTTTGTTTCTTAATAATAAATGGACAACCAAACCAAATTATATGTAATTTATTAGCGGTAGGAAGTCTGAATGAATGAAGGAATGTATGTATCAAAGAAAGAAAAGTCAGAAAGTTACACTGCTTTTCTTACCTAGATTTTTTGTCTTGTTTCTAGTCCAAATATCTACAAATTCTTTAATTAGAAAGCATTTTCTAGATGAGTAAAACATATTGTTCTGTTTTGAGAAATATTGTGCCCAAATTGTGAGCGAGCTTTTGCTTAAACAAGCAAAATAATCTGCCAATGGGGTAAAAAAAATATCTTGTTTTTGATTTAAAACAAGAATATTTTTCTTACCCCATTGGCAGATTGTTTTGCCTGTTTTTTTGTTTTTTATATAATATATATTCAAAACAGTTCAGAAAAAAAAAACATTTTCAAAGGAACATGAAAAAGAAACAAAAAAGACATACAATACAAGTGGCAAAGATTACCGAATACAATCTTATTTACATTCGTGTTTATGGTTGATAAAATGTTGCTATATAAAATTTTGTTAAAGGTTACGTACCAAAAATCAACAAGCTCCACACACACACACACACACATATATATATATATATATATATATATATATATATATATATATATATATATATATATATATATATATATATATATATATATATATATATATATATATATATATAAAAAAGCACCACAATAAAATTTAAACATTAGGTCTCTTCTCAATCTTTTACCCTATTAAGGCAAGGTAAGTTTATTTATATAGCACAATTCATTCACTGTGGCAATTCAAAGTGCTTTACATAAACAGGAATAAAAGAGACAAGTATGAATAAAATAAAAACAGATGATAACTGCGTAAAGTTTTACCATTTTCTAAAACTTTGATGTATCATATTTTCTCACTTTACTCTGGCACTTCCCCATTCAGGTGATCACGCCCCACCCCTATTGGACATCTCCAACAGATTCAAATTTTTACCTGTAATCGAAAGGTTAAGCTTTACAGCTCTAATTACGTGCCCAGTATGCAGCCATTTTATAGGCTTGTTGTCTCAAGCAAAGTGTCAGTACTTCCATATCATACCTTTTACAATATCATGCCATTCACCTACAGATTGAGGATCTTCCTTGAGCCATTTTCTTGTAATAGCCTTTTTATTGAAAAAAAATTGCTAGTAGTGTATTAAGATGATATGCATAATTGTTTTGGTATTTCTGCAGAGTAAATTCCCAGGCACATAGTTTTAAAATTACATTCCAGATTCAATCCTATTATTGCCTTTATCTCTTTATTCAAATCTTGCCAATTGGTGTGTATTGCAATCCCAAAATACGTGGAAATGATCAACCAATACATTTTCTCCAGAATTCACTATTTTTTGATCTCTAGTTTTAAAGTATTTTAGTTTAAGTATCATAAAGAACCTGATTACATTTTTGCGAATAAACTCCCTCCATAAATCTGAATTAATTGTGATCATTTGTGTTTCCCAAATAGTTAGCCATTCCTCATTTGTAGGCCCACCCGGAATCGGCGAGCGCAGAATTCCGCAGATTTCCGCAGATTTTTAGCCCATCTTTAATTCTGTTTATTTTCTTGAGTAAATGTGTGTAAATCCATATTTATTCAGTTTTTTAATTAATTACTGTAATATTATTGACTAAAATGAAAATGTTCATCTGATTTATGTTCAATGCAGTTTGTACAGTATTATTTTCTGTCTTTCACTTGATATATTATATGATTTATTTACCAAATAAAGTGAATCTAATTGGATTTGCATTTTAAACATTAAATAAAAGTTAAAAAGATATTATTTTTTATTTCATATATTACGGTTTTAGTTATGATACTCCCAAAATAATTTCGCTAAAAACCCGCAGACTTCTACCAAAATTCTCTGCAGAAATAGCAAAAAGGTCAGCAGATTCTGTCTCGCCCTACTCATTTGTTATAGTTATATTGGCTTCCTTTTCCCGTTTCTGTTTTAAAAACATTGTTGAGTGTTTTTTTTTATTTTGTTTTTTTTATGTCAGGCAGGAATAAATTATTGATACTAGTTTCTTATTCACCTACATTTTGTGAGTTTCTACAAATACCTGCATTAATGTTGGTTCTATATCTTCTGAATATTTTATGTTTGTATTTTAATAGTCTCTAACTTGAATATAACGGAAAAAGTCTTGTTTATATGTGAAGTTATATGTATTCAAAAGTTGTTGAAAACTTTCTTATTCATTATCAGTAGTAATGAGACAGAAGGATGTTATGCCTTGCAAACTCCATTGTTTTAATCTTAGATCTAGTTTTGCTTGTTTAAATTGAATATCTGTTTTGCTTTTGTTAGGGAAAATTCTTGATTTTGCCATATTATTTCTTAAATCAAGACCTTGTTTTGCTTGTCTAGAAAATGCTTTTTGATTTAAGAATATTTAGATATTCAGACTAGAAACAAGACAAAAAATGTGAGTAAGAACCATTTTTTGCTTTGTAGTTTGTTTCAAAATTGTCATAAGAAGGTGTGTTGTTCAATCGTTTTAGGACTTTTTAAAAAAAAAATTTATAAAGGTTTGATTCATTTGTTTAAATGTTGCCTATTTCAAATGCACATAAAGTTTGTAATTACTGTCTGAATTTGTTGTCTTATGCCATTTTAGATAGTAATGTCATTTAATTTCTCTTTTTGATAAACAGGAATTTGACCCTGAGGAATTTTATCAGCGTCTAGAAGTTGCAGAAGGCCAAGCCAAAGTTGGCCAGGGAATTAAGACTGACATCCCCAGATACATCATCAGCCAACTAGGTCTCACCCGAGACCCCCTGGAGGGTATAATTATGATTTATCTATCACCCCACCCAAAAATTATTGTGTTTTTTTTTTTTTCTGTCTATGTTGTAGCGTATAATTAAAAAGTAGCTTTAGGCAAATGAGTGATTGATTTTCCTCTTGTCTTTGGGTTCAGACATGGTGCAACTTGAGCACAACAGCTCAGGCAGCTCAAGCAGAGAGCTCGATGACTCTGCAGAGGTAAGAAAATAAACACTGCTTCTCTAAGCTGCTGGAGGTCTCGTGTTTTCCATTCCATGAGGTCCAGTCTGTACGTTACATTGCCAGCAAGGTCTAAACAATCATCCTTTCCACCATTGCATAAGTCAAGAGTTTTATCTGACTCAAATGAAATCAACAATGCACGGTGCTAATTCAATCCAAATGTAGTAATGACTAATTTTGGCTAAACATTTAGCCAAATTTACCCCCCCCCAACACATTTTCTCTCTGCATACCTAAAAGGTCATATCAAATAAGTGTGTCTGGTATAACGCCTTATTTAGATTAATTAAAGCTTTAGTCAAAAAAACAGAGTCCGAAAGCAGTAATTGGGATGGATTGAGTCACATTTAAAGTAGTTTTAGAATATATCTTGTGCTCAGGAAGACTCAATTTATTATATAAACATTATATAAAAGTAGAAGTGATATGGTGTTTTCTATTTTCTATATTTTAATACATGTAAATAAAGTATTTGAATATAGTATTCTTTTAATATTTTTAAAGAATTGAAAAATGTTTGTATCAAAGAAGAGTCTAAATTCTCAGTATAGTGTTCTGTCAGATTTTTGTATAGTTCTGCTATTGAGAGTTTTATTTTCTTTCTTTTGTGCTCCAGAATCGTCCTGGAATCATGACGCCTCGAAGGAAGCCTCTGGAAAGAGATTTTGAGACCATAAAGCTCATCAGCAATGGGGCTTATGGGTGAGCTCACCCTTACTGTTCTTTTCTTCAGAGAAGGAACTGGCATTTTTATAGTCATATGAATTTAGGTCATCCGTTGACTAAAGGAATGAATACGCTACACAACTTTGCCCAGATTTCTGGCCCATTTTGCAGTCTGGATGAGTCAGTGCTTGATGCTAAAGGTCAAAACAAGTCTTCAGGCTTTGAGCAGTTAGAGTACATATATTTTATGGGAATTTGAATGGAAACACATTTATTTTTTAACTTAAGAACATGATTTTGTCCAATTTGGGGTCCATATTTTGAGCCGATTTTGGAACGCATCACTCTTGTTTGTCATCACCCTTTTAGTTGATAAATGCTCATGAAAATCGTTACAACACAACTGTAGTAATAAACAAATTATTCAATAGGCTTCAGTTTTCTACGCTATAATTATAAACCATCACAGTACATTACAGTTTATTAGTTTACAATACTACAGTATTCTCTTCTATTCATTAACAAAGAGTTATACACATTATACACTTTACTATGTGGTTCAAAAACATGTTTGTTGTAAATTATTATAGTTTTTTCTCCATGTGGATATCTTCCAGACATCCCGAAATAACAGATGAAAGCATAGAAAAGCGTGGACGCATAGTCTACATTACATTAATGTTTATTTTTGTAAGAGGGAAAAGTGCTCCACAGTAATAACAGTCTAGTTTTCTTGCAAGAGTTGCATTTTTTTTGTTCTGTCGGTGAATATACCATCAACAAACATTCACTACTGTTGCGCATATAAACGTTAACGTTGCAGTAGTTTATTCCGCCGAAACGCCAGTTAAGACTTGATTATTGCAAAACAAAATGGAGATTTCATTACAGCGATTACATGGAAGGGTACATTTATTTGTATTCTCCTGGATTTTGCATAAGTGTAGTGATGTTTGTATCTGATTTTTATACAACACAGTAACATTTATACACATAGCTAAGCCTGTATATAATCTTCATTGTTGCTGTCAAATAAATTATCGCGTTTAAAAAAGCTTGAACACATAGATGTATTGAAAAAATGTTTATTACATGTCGCCTTTTGTTCCATTTTTCAGCCAGTTTCTTGAACTTTTTCCTATTTATAAGTAAAAACTTTTGCAGGTCTATAAAAGCTGTCTGGCCTTACTTATTTTGGCTGATTTAAACAATCATAAACAACATAAAACAGGAATCACTATCAGAACATCAAAATATTTCTATGTAGAAGAATCACCTCCTGCCCTCCATCTGAATTCCACGCGTCATCAGTGAGGTCATGTGAAAACAACCTAATGTGCTAATGATAACATCTCAAGCACACTAGTGTATGCATACAGTATGTGAAACTAAATACTTGGGTATATGTGAACTATTAAGAATATGAGATTCTGATCTTTCTGTTGATTGCAGGGCTGTATACCTTGTCAGACACCGCGAGACAAGGCAGCGTTTTGCAATGAAGAAGATCAACCGGCAGAACTTGATCTTGAGGAACCAGATCCAGCAGGTGTTTGTAGAGCGAGACATCCTGACGTTTGCAGAAAACCCATTTGTGGTCAGCATGTACTGCTCCTTTGAGACTCGTCGACACCTCTGCATGGTCATGGAGTATGTGGAGGGTGAGTCGGAGGAGTCGTGCTGTCATCTAATCTTATGACGCACATCATTTCTCATGGATATAGTCAAAGTATGAAACTCGATTATTTATTATAAAATCATCTTTGCAGGTGGAGACTGTGCAAATTTGCTAAAGAACATGGGTCCCTTGCCGGTGGACATGGCCAGAATGTATTTTGCAGAGACTGTTCTTGCACTAGAGTATCTTCATAATTATGGCATTGTGCACAGGGATCTCAAACCTGACAAGTAAGAGCTGCTCCATGATGCAATCCTGCTGTTACGCATGACTTTGTGTCCTTCAAAACGTTGCATTCACTGTGTTTGTTTCCCTTTTTCAGCTTGCTCATTACGTCAATGGGCCATATTAAACTGACTGACTTTGGCTTGTCTAAAATCGGTTTAATGAACATGACCACAAACCTGTATGAGGAGCACATGGAGAAAGACACCAGAGAGTTCATTGATAAACAGGTTGGTCTACTCGTACATGAGCACATCACATCCTGTACTAATTTTAAAAGTTCTACCTCGTGTGTATTTTTTTTTTCTTTTCCTTCCATAAAAAGTAAAGTGCACAACCTGACAAAAGTATTGTCGCCTATCCAAGTTTTAGGAACAACAAAAAATAACTCAACTTCGAGTTGATCATTTGGTATCAGAAGTGGCTTATTAAAGGCAAAGGCATCTAGATTACGCCTATTTTACCAAAATAAAAATAGGATCATGCCTTTATTTTTAATTATTTAATAAGGACAGTAAGGTCTGACTTTGCTTAAACAAAAGTCGTGTCACTCAAACAAAAATAATGTACATTGTAGAATATAAGGTCATGGTGAAGTGGAAAAGGAATTGATATCGTGTATGACTCCCATGAGCTTGGGGGATTGCATCCATACATATCGTCCTGACTTATTAATAAAGTCATCTGGAATGGCAAAGGAAGCATTCTTGCAGGAATTTCAGAGTATTATTTTTCAGAGATTATTTGGATTATTCATCTTCAATGCCTCCTTCAGACTTCAGAATGCTTACCCCAGACATGCTCAATAATGTTCATACCTGGTGACTGGGTTGGCCAATCCTGGAGCACCTTGACCTTTTTTTACTTTAAGGAACTTTGATGTTGAGGCTGAAGTATGAGGAGGAGCGCTATCCTGCTGAAGAATGTCTTGATACCTCAGGCTGTTGATGTTGCCATCCACTATGCGGATCTCTGAATGTAACTCCAAACCATGATTTTTCTTTCACCAAACTTGACTGATTTTTTTGAGAATCTTGGATCCATGTGGGTTCCAATAGGTCTTCTGCAGTATTTGTGATTAATTGTTGCAGTTCAACAGATGATTCATCAGAAAAATCTTCCTTCTGCCACTTCTCCAAATGATCAACTGAAGTCAAGTTATTAATTGTTGTTCTTACAACTGAGATTAGCAACAAAACTTTTGTCAGCTAGTGTATGTGCAAAGTATGTGAAAGGTCAAAGCAGCCTTATGGAATGGGATGGAAAATTGTATGAAAATTATGTCTTTAAATAATTGATTTTATTTTAATAACATTCTAGATGAGGAGTCTGTTTATTGTTATATATATTTTGTTTGATTGGTTTATTCATTGTAATGTTAATACAAAATTCCTGAAAGGAGGTGAAAAGGAAAAGGTTTTTGTTTGATTAATACCTTAAATTAATCACTTAATTTATTTTACTTTAATAATGTTTTTCATTTATTATTTATTTGTCTAATTATATATTATTTAATTTTATTCATTTTATCGCTGTTGTAGTTCTAAAAAGTACAAATGTACAAAATGAAATGAGGTTGGAATGTAATAGTTTTGAGAAAATAGTAAATTAGGTGATGTTTAATAGAGTTTATTTTTCATTTTACAACAGCCATAATGTGGTTTTATAAGTTCTAGAAAGGAATAGCAGTTTCACATTTTTTGAGGCCAAGCAAGAGCTTTGTGTGCAAAAACATGACATTTCTTGTTCACTTAAATTTTATATAATCTCTACAATTGTTCTTTTGTGGTCAAAAATATTTACATTTCACTCACAAGTGTCCTCATTTGACAAGCTAAAAAAACAAAATTTTATTAAATTTTATTTGACAGAATTTAACAAACTGTACAGAATAACAAGTAGTATCCCATAGATCTAGACGTAACTTGTTAAAAGAAGAAACTGTTGCGGATAAAAGCACAATAAGCATTTGCATTATTTCCATTGTGTTCCTCTCTGTTAATACAAAAAAGATGGCTTCAAAATACAGAAGAGCTGTTGTGTAAAACAAAACAGTAACTCCCACTTATAAAAACACGAAACTGAGATTTGAAAGTCACAGCAGTGAAGAAAATGGTGATAATGTATTGTTATAAACATATCTACAGCACTGTGTGTCACGTAAGAAAGAAAACATTACAGCATTTTCAGTTTTCCTCTGTTGTATTTTTTATTTATTTTTATTTTTTTTCAGCTCTGTGGCACTCCAGAATACATTGCACCAGAGGTGATTCTGAGGCAGGGTTATGGTAAACCTGTGGATTGGTGGGCCATGGGCATCATCCTGTATGAGTTCCTGGTGGGCTGCGTGCCTTTCTTTGGAGACACACCAGAAGAGCTCTTTGGTCAAGTGGTCAGTGGTGAGCATCAAAAGCTTTTAAAGCCTTGCTGATGGTCAAGTAAATGGAAAAAGCTTCACTTACTCTGTTGCACTGATTTCAGACAGACTTCTAAGGCAACAAAATAGTTAGATGATCTATAACAAAACTTGTAAAAATCCAGAAAATATTTAATTACTATAGTAACAAAATACTAATTTCTCCAGAAATTAAGACAAAAATTTAATGGTTGATCAAACATTTACATAAACATAAAATTGATGCCAGTAGCAAACTTCAGATTTAATGTTTGTTTTTTACGTAAATGGATTGTTCTCTTGAAAAATAAGTTTCACTCCTTTATTTACTCACCCTTAAGTGTTTTTAAACGTTTAAGTTTCTTTCATCTGTTTAACCCAAAGAACGCTGAAAACCTGTAACCATTGACTTCCATTGGACAAAGACATTCCAACATTCCTAACTAAAAGAAACTTATGAAAGTTCGAAAGATGTAAACAATTTATCTTTTTTTTGAGGATGCATCGCTGAATGGAAAGCACAGGATTATGCATTCACGCATTGTACTTTGATGCCCTCAAAAAGCTGTCAGATAAAGTGTCTTGCCTTCTGTCTCTGCATGCTGCCTACATAAATTTTTGAGTTTTTGGACATAACTCTCTAGGCACTTATGAAATTATGCTGCACAATATATTATTTCAGCATCAATATCATGATGTGTGAAACTGCAAAAGTCACATCGCAGGAACTGCAATGTAAAGTTGGCATTATAATTGTCTAGGAACCACAGTGCAACACGTGATCTGTGAAGTCATTTTTTTAGAGTTTAACCCAAATATGATAGTTTGCAGGGTTTGTTTTATGTTGGTTTGATTTTAAGTTTTGTGATTATAATATATATATAATTATTATAATTATTTTATTGTTTATTTGTATAATGAAGACTCTATGCAGTGTTATTTTAAATTAGATCATTGAGTTCCAGCTGAAAACCATAAAGTGCGGTTTATTTTGTTTTATTTTTGTCTTTCTGTTGTTTTCTTCTGGGCTTTAATTTATTTATTAAGTATATTTTTGTATATTTGTATTTTTTCTGCAGATCCACTAATCTTCAAAATCATCCCATGATCATAAATCATAAAATGATGAATTATTTCCAAATAGTTATCTATGTAACCTTGTGAAATTATATTCCAAAAGCAATATCATTATTTTATTTTCTTTTCAGTTTAGTCCCTTTATTAATCCGGGGTTGCCACAGCGGAATCAACCACCAACTTATCCAGCACATGTTTTATTTTATATGTTTTATGCAGCGGATGCCCTTCCACAACCCAACACTCGGAAACACCCAGACACTCTCTTACACACACACATACACTACGGCCAATTTAGCTTATTCAATTTACCTATAGCGCATGTGTTTGGACTGTGGGGGAAACCGGAGTACTGGAAATAACCCATGCGAATACAGGGAGAACATGCAAACTCCACACAGAAATGCCAATTGACCTAGCCGGGGCTCAAACCAGTGACGTTCATGCTGTGAGACGATCGTGCTACCCACTGAGCCATCGTAACGCATCCTATCGCAATTTAAATCACAGAAAAACAAAACCACTGCTCTAGCTGATGTTGTGCTTGTGTGTTTGTGTCCTTGTCACTCTATAGATGAAATTGAGTGGCCAGTGGGTGATGATGCATTGCCTGCTGAGTCTCAAGACCTCATCACAAAACTCCTGAGACAAAGTCCCTTGGAGAGATTGGGAACCGGTGAGTGCTTTTGCCAGTTTAGACCAAAAATAAATAAATAAATAAACCAAATAAATATGTTTGTGTGTGTGTGTGTTTGTTTATTTATTTTTTTGACAGTAATTTCTACTTGGCTTTCTTTATTGTTAATGATTTATGATTTGAATGCTTAAAACCTGTTAGGATTGTAATTGTAGCTTTATTTTCAGTTAAATTGGTGTATATATTTAGTCAAGCCCTGTACAAGACTATATATATATATATATATATAATGTAGCCTGATTTAGTGATTTATGCTGTAATCTTCAGGAGGGGCAGCAGAGGTCAAGCATCACATCTTCTTTCATGGTCTGGACTGGAGTGGACTTTTAAGGCAGAAAGCAGAGTTTATTCCACAGCTGGAAACTGAAGACGACACAAGCTACTTTGACAGTAGGTGGCTCTCTTGCTCTTTTATAACATCTACTCTATCATTGATATAACATACAACTGATCTGTCTCTGTTCATCCGTGTCCAGCCCGATCTGATCGTTACCACCACTCAGACGAGGATGATGAGACAAACGATGATGAATCCTATCAGGATATCAAGTTCTCGTCCTGTTCTCATCGCTTCAGCAAGGTGAAATGAATAAATGTGCAGGATGTTCATATTATAGTGATGTCATATTTATATATATATATATATATATATATATATATATATATATATATATATATATATATATATATATATATATATATATTTATATATTTATATATATGTGTGTGTGTGTGTGTGTGTGTGTATATATGTGTGTGTATATTGTCTATATTTTTATGTTAATCAGGTGTATAGTAGCTCTGAGCAGCTGGCTTCACCCTCAAACCTGAGCTTGTCATCGTCTGAGCGGAGCTGCAGTGAGGAGAAGGAGGACCGCTGGGACACTCATTCAGCGCTGTCTCCTGTTGAAACCCCCAGACAGATTCAGCCTGCTGATAGGAAGCAGGATACCAGCAGGGGCAGGTGAGCACAAATCTGTGGATTGTTTTTGCTTGCTGTCTGACGTCAGACGTCTTAATTTCTTGTCCAAACACAGTGTGTTGTAATACTATTGTAATCCATTTATATGACATATATCAAGAAAATAATGGGTTACACTTCATTTTAAGGAGTTCTTGTTACAGTACAACCATTCATTTAAAGTTGTCATATTGCAATAAGTAAAATTGTTCTCTGACATCTACATGGTAGATATGTGGCTTGATAGATGATGCCATTGCCGATGGCCGATAGACATCACAATGCAATCCTACACACGGCCACACTAATAATAATAGTCTTGGTTTGAAAATGGCGTTTTAGACAAAAAACGATGCCCATCCACACTGGCGTTTCACCTTGCATTAATGAAAAGCCCGATATCACACACTATATCACTGAAAACACACATCACGTAACCACACACACACAAACACTCTGTCTTGCATGGCAGTGTAGGCTATGTGCACATCTGACTCTGAGCTCCAGCAGTCACCCCAGAGAGCAGTGCACGTCGGACAAGGAAGTACCGCTGGATAGCATCTCACTATAGTTGTTAAACGTGATATTTAATTAATATTGACTATATATCAACTTTTTGGTCTTTTGAATCTTTCAGGTAATGTGTCACAGCGTCAGTACACTGCTTTGATGCCAGTTCACTGCCTGTTCATGCCCCGTCAAAAAATTTATTGACAGGTGGTAATTTGTGTGTAACTTATCTTTGTTTTACCCATAACCAACTAAAAAATAAACAAAGACCATGCGTGTCAGGTAGTTGAAACGGTAGGCTACAAATAATTAATTCATCATGAATTAATCAGTTATTCATAAATAATTAATTCACCGCTGCCTACGATGACGATGCCATTGTCCATCGCAACATTGTACATTAGACATCGTACGATGCGAAATTGGTCAACACCGCCCAATCCTAATATCTTTATTTATTACCTTATTATATACAACTAGAATCAGCAGGTCTTTATTGACCATATTTGGAAAGGTTGTGTATATTAATGAGTTCTGCTCTGACTTCGCTTTCAGTGCTCTCTCTCTCTCTCTCTCTCTCTCACACACGTGCACACACAGTGCATGGTGTACTAAATCAATATGCAAAATAATACTTTATTTGTTAAAAAATATTTTAACAAATGGAGTATATGTCCTGTTAAATCTTTTTAACTTTAAGAGATAGTTTTTTTGCATGGAGTGAGTGAACTATATAATATTAGTCACCAGACAGAGTAACCTAAAATAAAATATAGTCTAAATTATAAATATACCCAACAAAAGAGACTAAAGGAGATGTATTATGTTGTATTTTGAAGTTGTTATTTCACTACAGAGAAATTGCAGGTAGAGCTGAGTGATTAGACATGATGCTTAAAAGTGCATTAAACCTAATACTCAGCAGTCTACTTGTGTTTGTTACATCAAAATACAAACATATCCAGCAAGTTTAACAATTAACACGATAAACTAACAAAATATTGGGCATACCTTATTCCTCTTCGGGGTCACACTGTATACATTTATAATCTGTATAGCATGCATTTTTCATTCAGCTCTAAAGCATGGCAGTGAAAGTCATTGCTTAGTAACTCATCAAAAGCTTTTTAGTAATTTTGCTGCATCTCCTATTTTCAAAATAAGAGTCCCACTTGCATGATAAGCTCAAAATGAACCTAAAAATAAGGGGAAAAAATTATCGTTGTTATAATTTCAAAACACAGCTAGGGACATACATATTAACGATCTTGTGTGCAAAATATCAAGCTGTTAATCTCTTAATGATTCGGCTGCTTATCAGGCCAGATGATGATGAACGTGACCTAAAGTACATGCAAACCTTGAGGGAGTGCTGTTGAATAAACCAGGTCTTTACACCGGAATTTACATGGTAACGAGGAATTAGTTGTGTTTGAGGCTTACGGTATAGCCATTTCCTTTTACTGTACTTTAATTATTTGACTATGCCTAGGTATACCCACATTTTCTTTATAGGCACCTTAAACTACTGAGTAATATTAAGTAATTACATGCGCTTACTATATGGATAGGGTTAGAACGCGAGTTAGGTTTAAGGTTAGTTTCTCATAATTATGCATAATTAATTGTAATTACTAATATAAAAACATGGAACAAGTGTAGCCAAGGACACCTTTATTATAATTATAGTGTTACCACATGGTGTTTGGGATGCAGCATGTTCAGACACTGTAGTGAACAGTTTAGATTTGTAAAAAATTTACTTTAATGTGTGATATGATTAGAGACAAGAGTTGTCATAAACGGCTGCTAAGAGACTTTACTCAATTAAAATGAGCCTTAAATACCAGAAGGTTCATACATTATATGTATTACCAATTCAAAAGCAGATGGCGCTCTAGCATACTACATATTTCTGCAGTTAATAGTTGGCATGTTGTAGACATGCTCTATATGCATAGACTGCCTGTGTGAGCTTGCAAAGAAAACCATTATAATAAGTAGCTATAAGTATTTTAATTTTTATATATATATATATATATATATATATATATATATATATATATATATATATATATATATATATATATATATATATATATATATATATATATATATATATATAATAAGTAATATTTAATATGTAATATTTAAAGTATAATAAGTAACTGATTTTATTTTAAATTGAGTCTTTGAATATGTTTACATGGACACTGATAGTCCAATTTTAGTACAATTAAGTCAATATTCTAATTATAAGTCTAGCATGTAAACAGCATTTTTTGATTACCTTAATCTGACTAAAGTTTTAATAGAACTAAACAGAAGACATGTGGAGTATTTATATTTTAGTTGCATTATTGAAGTGCAGTTCAAACATTTAAACACCGCAATCAAACTATTACCGTTGTGCAGGATTTTTGATGCATTTTGCGACAGGATAGTCCATACACACACACAGCTGTTTGATGCTACTTTCTGCACCTACCGAGTCAGTAAAGGGCCACAGACACCTGCATTGCGAAATGTGGAGGTTTTTTTCCCATACAGTGTGCGGTATCAAGTTCCATTAAATCTACACTCTTCCAGCATTTCATACCCTCTCATCCAGTATCTCTTTTGTCACGGGGGGCATGCATGAAATGTTTCTTAATGAAACTGAAGTGCCGAACTGCAGTTAAAGTCGACAAATTAAAAATGAAATGCCTGAAAGTACATGAAACTCCGGAGGAGATATGGATAGCGTAATGACTCAATGTCGTTAATCAAATTATGTGCTATAACATGTAAAACGGGATAATTAAAGGAACATTTAAAATACAACTCATGTAAACTCTTTAATCATGTTATTGTCTTATTCAGATTAAGGCAAATAATTAAATTACTGATGTCCATGTAAACGTAGTCAATGACTCCTATAAGAAAAAAACTGTGTATTTTCAGTTAAGTGTTTGTTTGTTTTTTTGTCTTTCAAATGTCGAGTAGGATACACACTGTTCCCACTTGCAGAAGTGGTCAAATTTTATTCAGCAACATTTTGTTCTCGTGGATGCATGCTTTTAACTATCGCTGTGTTCTCTCTTTTTTTGACATGATTTGTTCTGGAAATAAAATCTGTTATTCACACTTTTCTCTGTGTGCTTTGGAACAAAAACATTTCTGTGTGTGATCACATTAAATCTTGCAATCAAAAAGATTGAAAGGGATAGTTCACCAAAAACTGAAAATTTACACACTATTTACTCTTCCTCAAGTGGTTTCAAACCTTTGAGTTTTTTTTTCTTGTTACTATTCATTTAATAATATTACTAGTTGTTTTGAAGAAAGCTGGAAAACTGTTGCCGTTGACTTCCACAGAAGGAAAATCAGAAAGTCAGTGGTTACAGGTTTCCAGCATTCTTCAAAATATATTTTGTGTTCAACAGAAGTAAGAAACTCATAAAGGTGTGAAACAAGTAAAGGGTGAGGAAATGATGATGCAGTTTTCATTTTTAGGTGAACTAACCCTTTAGAAAGTGAATTTAAGATGCCTCCACTTTTACTTGGATGTTCATTAAATAAAACAAAAAGCTAATTATATCCTTATTATAGTATAAAAATAATAATAAAATAGCACAATTTTAAACAAGAAATAGAAATATATCCAAATGCTTTACTTGCGTGTTTGACTTACTTGGTTTTTTACTTATTCCTTTTTTGTATGTTTGTTTCTTTTTTTTCATTCAGCCCAAGTCTGAGGCCGAGAGCATCATCCAGCTCATCTCAGCCAGAGAGGGGCACTAGTCCTCTAATTTTGAACAGCACTCAGAGTCTTGAGGCCATGCCCCACTTTGCCTTCCCTGAGGATGAAGGTAGCAACTTTTTGTTACTTCTCTGTTTTAAACAAACATTGAGATAAATGAATTGCACTGATTTAAAATAAATTTAACATATTTCATTCTTTCTAGAAGGTCTCGTCTCAAACCTGAGGCGGATTCGTTTGCGCAGTAACTCTACTGGAACGAGACCTACTAACCGTCGGGATCACAAGGGTCCTCGTCGCCTCGGGCTCCAGCAGGAGACCCCTGAGAAACCACGATCACCCTTTACATGCAAAGTCCCCAAATCTGCATCCGTGTCCGGCCTTTCCCTCATCGTCACCGCAGGTAATGGGTTCATGTCGACGATCATGTGATGCCATCACATTGAAGGCAACTGAAATTCATGTGACTAAAACAATAAACAAGTAAAGCAGGTGGTCTAGAGAACAATGAACACTTCAGAAGAACAGAGAGCTTATTGACGAAGATGAAAGCGAAACATTACTTGACGTTAATAAACTTTGTGTCAGATATTTGAAACTAAATAGGGTTACTGGGGATTTTATGAGGCATTTGTTTATGTATGATTTTCTATGGTTATAGATGATATTCCCAGTGGGCTCCAGACAAGCCCCATGTCATCACATTCCCTCTCATCCAACCCTTCATCCCGGGACTCATCCCCTAACCGGGACATCTCTCTCAGCACAAGCAGTCTACGTCCTCCCGTGGTCATCCACAGCTCTGGGAGGAAGTACGGCTTTGCCCTTCGTGCCATTCGGGTCTACATGGGGGATTCGGATGTTTATACTGTGCACCACATGGTCTGGGTAGGTATTTTGGATGCAGTGGATATAATTTTGTTTTACTTTGATTAAAGGTAAAGCTGGGCGATTTTGAACGTTTTACTGGTACAAGATATGAGTATTTAAAATGTTTATACATGTAATTACTTCATAATTAAATAGATAAATATTTTTCCTCTATTTGAGCCATGTTTAAAGTGCTGAAAAGGGTGTTTGTGCAAAATGAATGACTGAACAAATGCTAAATTTGCTAAATATTTCTTGACTTCTATTTCTTTGATCCCAGTTCTAACTCTTAGCCTTTCCTCTTACCCCTTCCCCCTGTATAGTTTTGCTCTTATTGCCATATTATATCGTTTTGAAAACATGAAATATGCCTTCAGTGATTTCCTGAAGACAAATAGCAAAAAATAAGGCAACTGGAATAACTACCGCAGTCACAATCGTCAATCTCATATAAAGCAAAAGATTGCGATGACATATGATAACATGTGCTGGTGTTATAGTGCTGTCCCAGGGTAATTTTTGAAACCCTTCTCTATCACACTCTCAAAAGGAAGGGGTAGGGGTACAAAAATAGAATTGGGATTGGGCCATAATGTTAACATTAGCTAAGTTGACAAAGTACAACATGAATATACAGATTTTTTTTGTTTCACTGTGCTGCTTTCGCATATTTATTTTGTTACTCTGTAAAAAGTGCCATTTTTAAAAGACGCTCAACTGTCGTCCTAAAATTCTTTAAAAAAAAAAAAAAAAAACTTTAAATGCTTACTCATAATCCACACTTGTAATATGCTCTGAATGATGGTAATTCATAGAAAGTGTCACACATAATTAGTTAAAATTGCCTTTTTATAAATTAAAACTTCATTATGTGCAATAAAAGTAAGGATTAAAAAATAAGATTGGCTAAATAATTAATAAACTTTATTGTTTTCTTTTTTAATTTTATAGTAAATGGCTTTTTTTTCTATAGTAAATGGCTTGGTTGGCTGCATTGATCAAAATTGATCATGATGATAATTGAGAAACAAACACCATTTATACACATTGTATTTATTTTACAACACACGTGGTTAACATGTTGAACATAATATAGCTTTACATACAATATTGTATATAGTAATATACTGTACATATATTTGAAGAGTTCGGATGCAAAAACCTAAATGCTGTCTAAAATTTTCCTCTAAAATGAGCATTTTTATCAGCCATCCTGTGTGTATGTTCAGTAATATCGCTTTTCTGGCAAAGAATATGTCCTTTTCCTATTCTTTAAAGTGAAATATCTCAACCTAAGCAAAGGAAGTTAAGAAAAATGTCCATTTTCAATGTAAATTTCAGATGGCACTTAGAGGCACTTTTTGCATCTGAACTCTTCATTTGTCAAAATTCTGTATTCTTATTGTTTATTCTTCATTATTATCTGTGTCTTTTTTCCATCCACCTAGTGTTATGCGCATTTTGCATATGCACATAAAAAGGATGGAAACTCCAAAATGCACATAAGTTTTAAAAATTTACATAAAAACGTAGGATAAACCTTTTATTCGATAAGAAAAAATGTGCATAAACTGCGATTTAAAAACACTTTTACAAAACAAATTCCAGTATGCGAAAAGTCATGTGATTTTGTTATAAGGGATCATGTGGTGATAAAAATGTGAGTGAATGGACAAACTAGCAGGCTGAGCACACTGTAAAACATCTGAAATGTTGTTTTGGTCATTCTACAACGCCTTAATCATTTCAGTATTAATGTACTGTATATTATTAATTACCTCCAACACTGTCAAGAGCGTCTGTGCTCTGCGTCTCACGCCTTCAAATGCCACCACGTGTTCATTGCATGTCGGCATCGTCTTCTGAGATGCAAGTCATTTATTAAATCAAGAAAAAAAGTCACACAGCTTTTCCTAACACAGCAAATTCTGTTTTTACTGTTGATATTTGTCGCCAGTTAATCAAGAAGTGACGATTTTGTTCTCTTTGACTCGTTGAATGGAAACGCTGCTTTATTTGCATGTCTTTTATGCGATGTTCCTGTTTTGCTCATAAATTTAACTCGCATCTTTGGATGGAAACATAGCTTTAGTCCTTGTGTTGCACTGTAGAAACTTCTGTCACAAAAAAACGAATGCCCTGTATGTGTGAACATACCAGGCAGTAAAAGCTCTTTCTGATTCTTATTTCTATTGAGTTGACTGCTTTCATATGTTCCCATTTCTCCAGAGTGTTGAAGACTGCAGCCCTGCTCACGAGGCCGGACTGAGGGCTGGTGACCTCATCACTCATGTGAACGGAGAGTGTATTCAGGGTCTGGTGCACACCGATGTGGTAGAGCTTCTGCTGAAGGTGAGATTCTTATATACTACTTGAAATGAAAACCCAGCCCATACAAGTTTATTTTTTAAAAATATGCTTCATTTATTTATTTATTTTTTTGTAGAGTGGTAGTAAAGTAACTCTTCAGACGACTCCTCTTGAGAACACGTCCATTAAAATTGGGCCTGCAAGAAAGACCAGCTCAAAGGGGAAGATGGCACGGCGCAGTAAAAAGAGCAAAAGGAAAGAGGGTCAAGACAGGTTAGAAAGATATTTTGTAGTATTTTTTTGTACTTTTCAGCATATTGCAGCCTAAAATCTAATTTACACTTAACCTTTACAATATATTTTTTCTCTAGCAAACGGCGTAACCTTTTGAAGAAGCTGCCCAAACACAGTCCAGGGATTCAGAACAGTCGCAGCTTCTCTGCAGGCTTTCAGCACTCACCCAATGACAGCCTGTCTGACTCTCCAACACCGAGCCTCTCTCCTGGCCCCAACACCCCCTGCAGAAGCCCAGCTCCAGACCTGTCATGTGGTAGGACTCTCTCTTTCTCTCAATAGCAGATACAGTCTTATATGATCCACAATTTATCACTTATGCCTCATAGAAAAATGGCTCATTCAAGGAAATAAATTAAATCTGAAGTAGCATGATCTTATTCTTTTTTAAAATATACTTTTTTATTGTTTTATTTAATTGCATGGTTCACTCAAATAAAAATAATAAATTGATATTAATGTACGCACCTTCATTATTTGAATTTTGTCCTCAGTAGAATACAAAAGATTTGGTAACACTTTGCAATCTGAGACATGTAGTTAATGTTAGATGATGTATTTAATAACATGAGCAAACAATAAACAATACATTTATTCACGTTTGTTAATGTTAGTTAACGAAAATACAGTTGTTCATGTTAACTCAGAGTGCGTTAATGTTAACAAGCACAGTGTTTGGTTTTTATTAGAGCTGCACTTTATTGGAAAAATCTGATATTGCTATATTTGATTTTTTTGCTATTTAAATATTTTGATATGAATGTAGTTTCACAAGATACTTTGAATTGGTTTTCTGGGGAGTCTAACAGTATTCATGTACAAAAATTAAATAATATCAATGTAAAAAATTATTTTCTAACTTTGCTTTGTCTTATTTTTAATCCAAATGTCTAAATTCTGAGATCAAGAAAAAGTAGGGCAAAATTAAGAGTGATGTGACTATTGCGGATGCATACATTGAGAGAACGATGCTGACACTATATATTGTGCAGGCCTAATTTTAATAAATGCATTAGTAAATGTGATTAGTTATTAATTAGAATCACATTTGTAAAGAACGATACATTCAGGCTGTACTAACCTTGTTCATTATTAGTTCTTGTTAGGAAATGCATTAACTAACATGTGTGCCGCATTGTAAAGTTGTAAATAGTTGAGATTTTTTGTTGAAAATTTGGTCATAAGTACTTAAAGTATACTTAAATAAAACACTTCAACCTAAAAAATAATACATTTACTTAAAATGTAGGTTATTGGCTAATGACATAGGGAGTCAAAAACAAACACACCTGCAGCCTAAATAAAATAATCTCGTAAATAATTTCTTCTCATGATGAGAAATTAAAGTTTTATGAAGTAAAGCAACATTAAGCCACTTTAAAAACCAGATCATTTGATCATGATTATGACAGCTGTTTGAAACCTTGGTTTGACTACCTAAAACTGGAAAAAACTAATAATTGATTGTTTACATCTTGAAAAATATTTATTTAGTCTAAACACATAATTAGTTATTATTTTGGACCACTTATAAAAAAAAAATATGAAAAATTCATAAAGAAATTTTTTTTTGGAGTTTGACTATAAACTACAGTTTGAAAAGACTTGTTTTTATTGTGGATACTCATTGATTAACAAAAGCCATTGTTTTTTTGTTTTTTTTTGATCAATGCTTTTTTTCAGTCTTAATCAGTTAAACAAAATAAATTGTTGTGCTATTCATCTACAGGACTATTACAGTAATAAGGATGCTGAAAATTCAGTTTTGTATTACAGAATTAGATTTTTTCAACACTTGGCAAGCTTATTGAAGAATTAAAGCACTAAAATATAAACCATTTTTGCATTCATATGCAGTACTTATTAGGGATGCAACAATACACTTAGCTTACGGTTTAATAAATACCTCGGCCTTTTTAACACTGTTTTCGGTTCGGTTTTGATGGCTTGACACAAGTGTTTTTTTTTTTTTGTTGTTGTTGTTCTATGCTAAGGCAATAGGAACAGTAAGTTAAAATAAAAACGATTTATTGCAATACTCCTTTATTTTACTTCAAAGCCAAGAAAAGTACAGTAGTTCCTAATGTATCGTATAATTTAAAAAAATTACACTGAAATCTCACAGCTGCTGGTAGCCTATGTACAAACTGGGTAACACTTAAATTGAAAATAAACATACATGTGAATTTAATAAACATAAATTGACCATTTCAAATAAACATATTTGCACTTCAGTAAACATAAATAAAGCATCTTAATTAAACTTAACACTGCTTTTGTTATTTTTATGGGACTTTCGGAACCAGTCGGGGATGTTTGCTGTAAGGATTCAGCGAGGGATTGTTGTTGTTTGGAGGACTTTATTACCTTCTCTGCTATTCTCCCTTCAGACAGTGATATTGTGGAGTGATGGCGCTGCAGATGTGCAGTCATGTTGGAAGTGTTTCCTTTCGAGTAGGCTATACGTGTAACAGAAATGTCCCCACACGGAGGATTTGAAAGACACCGATGCTTTCTCATACTGTTACATGACTTCCCCGCCGCTCGCTATGTTAAAGTGTGGAATGATGGTCAAGCGCCCCCAAACTTTAGAGCATAGTGATTTAATATTCACTCACGGAGTGGAGTTTCCTCATCTCAGCTGGTAGACTTACAGGCACACACAAACAGTCAATTTGGAGAGAAATAAAACGCATAAATTATTCAAAAGTAAAACTGAAAAAAAAACACAATTCACAAACACGTATTGAACCATGGATGTCATACCGAACAGTTCTATATTATATATATATAGTCTATATTATATAGAGAATTGTGGCATTCCTAGTACTTATTAATAAATACAAAATAATAGTAATAAAAAACTTTTATCAACATATTCATAAATGATTGGCTAACACTGTTGCGGTCTCTCCACAGACTCAAACTCCCCACAGAGCTCCTCACCCTGCTCCAGCTCCCCAAACTCACCCATCCCTCAAAGCCGACCGAGTTCCCTTCACGTTTTGGGATCCAAGATCGGCCTGCGTTACAGCAAAGCAGGCCGCTGCAAATCCAGCAACAGCATTCCTCCGTCTCCCCTGGCCTGCAACCCCTCCTCACAGCCTCTCTCCCCTCAGTGTTCTCCATCCTCCCTCACTGGGCCTCCCAAAGGCCACCACTCCTTTCACAACAAGATGATGTCTCCTCCGACCATCGTGAGACAAACTGTGTGTCCCCGCAGCGCAGAATCGCCCCGGTCGCCGCTCCTCAACAGAGTTCAGTCATCAGAAAGGCTCTCCGGTGCTCAATATGGAGACAAAAGGTCTTTTTCTTCTCCAAGACACACCGTGGAGTTTCCCCAAAGTGAAGCCGATGAGTTTGAGTCTCAATCTCCTGACATCGCCTCGGGTTTCGTGTGCGTCGGCGATCATGCCAGACAAGGGTTATACATGTCCGGTCAGCGAGTGAGGGAATCCAGCGGTTTGGTTATGAGGAAACTGAACTTGTGCGAGAGACGGGATTCGTTTAAAAAACAAGAGGCCGTTCAGGAGGTCAGCTTCGATGACTCTGATGATAAAGAGCTCACAACGTCTACGCCAACTCATTCACGCTTCAAAGTGTCTTGGGTCAGCGAAACGCAGGATGAAGGAGACTCCGAGACTTCAGGGAGAAAGACGAATGAGGTTGGATCCAAGCGACAAGAACAAAAGAAACACAAGGATGAGTGTTAGTTTATGTCCTGAAAACTGTGAGACTGTGCGGGTGCTTCCATGATCAGAAATTACAAATCGGAAGTCTTTTAGGATCATTTCTTCATAGATTAGAAGTCGTTCACCTGAGAAATGTCTTTTTTTTGTGGAGTGTTCGCCCAGAAAGGAAAGTTCAGACATCATTTACTCATCCTTTTGTCATTCCAAAGCTACTTTGATTTTGTGTTGCTCTGGTTTAATGTGGTTTTGGACACCATTGACTTGAAACAAAGCCTCACTGGTGTTTGTGTTTCATTTAAAGACATTCATACAGTGATTGGTTACTTAAAGTGAGTTGGCTTCACTTAAAAAGAAGGTAAACCTGTTGTACTTTTAAACTAGTTAAGTTGGCTTAATTTTTAGTATTCACATTTACTTAATAATTATAAGGCAATGGGTTTGCTCACTTTTTAAAATAAGGTCATTCACGCTTTACAATAATGTTCCATTAATGTATTTATTAACAGGAACAAATAATAAACAAAATCTGTACAGCATTTATTAATCCTAGTTCAGAACTTACTAAAACCCACATTTATATCTACTAACATTAGTTAATGAACTGTAAAGTAACATGAACTTACAATAAACAACTGTATTTCCATTAGCAAATATAAATAAACTGTAATAAATGTACTGTACATGGGTGATTCATGTTAGTAAATACATAAACGTGCATTAACTAATGGAACATGATTGTAAAATGAGACCATAAATATCCACTAATTGCTTTTTACAGTGTACATGTTTGAAGTGACATCATGATGAGCTCATGATGACATCATTTATAAGAAATGTAGGTGGACGATCACTTTAAAAATCTGTTTTATCGTCAGGTAACGTTTGTAGATTTTGAAAGATTTTATTTATTACGTTGGTTTTATACGAGACCGATATAGAAAGGTCATGCAGTAGGATCGCTTTTTGAGACTTTGCACACGTGTGGTCCTGCTGAGGTTCATTCATTCATTCATTCTATTCTCTCAGAAATATCGTCATATACAGTCTAATGCAATTTAGTTTGTTGCTTCAGATTTCATTATGCAGTTAATGTTGTGTTCAGTCGGTCATACCCACTAATATTCCAGCACCTAAATGATTTGCAAGCCATTCAGCCAGTTTTGGCACTGTGGTGTATCATGTTTACCTTTTACTCTGTTTATGGGAAGAACAAGAAGACTTAGGAATGCGGATCTGGTATATGTTGTAGCCGAGTTGTGCAACATTTGACCTATGTAACCTTTGACAAATGGTGGTTTTTCTGTCTTTCAGTGTTTTGGTGGTGTAGCTTAGTGTCTCTCGAATTCACACTGCAGCCTTATGGTTGTGGTTTTGTGACTACCCGATATAAACACCATCGTTATAATCCGCACAATAGCCTTCTGCAGTGTTGCTTGTTTGGTTACACAGATATGATTCGGTTACGTGTAACGTGAGCTTTCTATGTAATGGTTTGCTTAAGGAGGTTCGTTCATTAAAACAAAAGAGACATCCAGAAACTAGAGATAGAGAAAGTTGTGAGTTATATCTTGCACTCCCAGTCTAACTTGTTTGTCTCTATTTTCGTAAGTGCAACACTATTTTCTCGAGTTCACATACTACCTTCATGTTCTTCTGTATGGTACTGTTGTTGTTTTTTTCATTTTTTTTTTTAAAGTTGTGTGTGGTTTACACAGCCAGATTTAAAGGACTCCAGAAGATCCTACACTCTCATCTAAATCCACTCGCACTCAACTGTATTTGTAAAGTTTGGACTTAACAGTGATTAAATGTGTACATACTTGCTAATGATCGTATTTCAGTGGTGTCAGTTCTTTTCCTGTTATGACTGTGAATGTTTTTCGTGCTTGTGACTGTTGCAAGCTTAAAGGGATAGTTCACTCAAAAATGACTTAAACTTAGTGTTTTTAGGAAACATGGTTATCAGAAAGCATAATTCCTCAACATAGACTTCAGTCTTGGTTGATATCCATATGTAACAAAATAAAAAATGACAAATTATATATATGTACACACAGGCATATATATGAACTAATACAGTGCTCAGCATTGAGTTCATCCCATTTTGAAAATTAATATTTGTATCCATTTCTCAGTGAATATAGGCAATGAATTTTGAACAAAACAGATTTATTAAACGAATATTTTTATTAAAATAATATTTTAGTCACCAAACATATTTAGAAACTGAAACATAATACTATTAAATTGAAGCAAATTATTGCAAAACAATTACAACCTAAAAAATTTCAACTAAAATTTTACATTTTTTTTTGTTTCTCTTGTTTTTTCCTCTTTTTAAAATTTGCATTTAATATTTTTCTAAAACATAAATTTGGGTGTGCTAGTTTTTGGACCGTTATCATAAGTTATTTTGTTAAAAAAACTCCAAATTTGGCTTCAGTATTGACTAATCTAATGTACTGTATATGGACTGATATAATATTGTATAGCTTCCTACTTAAAATCTAAATTTAAAAGATAGATTTGTGAGGGGTGTACTTGTGTGTGTGTGTGTGTGTGTGTGTGTGTGTGTGTGTGTGTGTGTGTGTGTGTGTGTGTGTGTATACAAGGTTTGAAGTCAAAATTATTAGAATTCATTTTTTTTTTTTATATGTTTCTCAAATTATGTTTAACAGGGCAAAGAAATTTCACAGTATGTCTAATATTATTTTATTTATTTGTTTTATTTTGGGTAGAACTAAACCGGTTATTGATTTTTTTAAACACCATTTTAAGGACAAATTATTAGCCCCTTGCCTAATTACCCTAACCTGCCTAGTTAACCTAATTAAGCCTTTAAATGTTACTTTAAGCTGTGTAGAAGTGTCTTGAAAAATATCTAGTCAAATATTATTTACTGTCATCTTAGCAAAGATGAAATAAATCAGTTATTAGAAATAAGTTATTAAAACTATTATGTTTAGAAATGTGCTGAAAAAAATCTCCGTTAAACAGAAATTGGGGACAAAACTAAACGGGGGGCTTATAATTCAGGGGGGCTAATAATTCTGACTTCAACTGTATATACCAAAATCTGTAAGGATATAAGTATAAAAGGAAAAAAGCTATATACAAAATGTCAGAGAAGTACATAAATGAAAAAAGTGTCTAATAAAGTTATTGTTAAACACATCAAACAGAAAAAAATTGTTGTCACCTCTATTTAAAAGACTTAATAATTTATCCTACATCTCCTACAGTTTTAATAATGGAAATCAAATTATCATGAATGTGGTTCCTGTGAAGAATTTTAGAAATCGTTGCTCTGTTAAGACAGTAAATTGCTCTAGTCTAGAGATGCCTAAACTAGTGACACCCTTGATTTGGCCCACCATCCAGTCTAAGAAGAGAGGTAGTTTTTTTTTTTGGAAGTTTGTTTTATTATTGAGCTTCAAAACGGCAAACTGAAATTAAATGTTTAACCCAAATGTTGTAAATGAATTAGATTTAAAAAATAAAATAAAATACACTGATAAAAGTTAATAAAAGTCACTGATGGATAGAAGACAATGCAGAAAACATCAGCAGAGGCAAGCGCAGCTTTACTAGTGTATTTATCATTGATCTTCATTGTGTTAAAAAAGAAATGTTTTTATTGTATAAAGTTCATCATAAAATGTATCAAAAATTCTATTGTATTATTTATTATGATTAAATATATTAATAATGTTAAATACATTTCGCAATTACCCATGGCAACTTTAATGTAATAACTAATGTTCCTAATGCCCCAGTAAAGTGAAGGGGACACTGTACTGCAGTGGGTGCTGTCTTTCGAATGAGATGTTAAAGCAAGTCCTGACTCTCTGTGGTCATTAAACATCCCATGCCATTTCTCGTAAATAGTAGGGGTGTATCCTCGGTGGCTCAAATTCCATCTCAGCCCTTAACCGTCATGGCCTCCCAATCATCCCCATACACCGAATTGGCTCTATCACTCTCTCCACTCCCCCTATGGCTGGTGTGTGGTGAGCGCACTGGTGCTGTTGTCCTGTGGCTGCCGTCGCATCATCGAAGTGGATGCTGCACACTGGTGGTGGTGTGGAGAGACCCCCTCATGATTGTGAAGCGCTTTTGGTGTATGGCCATATAAGATAAATGCGATGTATAAATAAACATTACAGTACATAATAAACTCTCAAAGAAATTATTTTGTTGTTTAATCTACTTCTTGAGATTTTTTGGGACGACTTAATTGTTTTGTGTTTAATCCACTTAATCGATTTGTGTTGAAACAACCTGAATAAATTGTGTGGAAACCTACATTATTTACCGTGCAGTTTGGTATATTTACCTTCAGCCATGACCCTCAACGATGGGAAGGTGGTTGGGGTGAATGCCTTTGACGGAACGATCATTTCGAATTTAACATAAAATTTTGTTTGTTTGTTTATCGCTGAGATACAAAAAAAAAAAAAACATTCCATTAAGTGTTGTAAATGAATCAGACTTCTTAAATAAATAGTCACTTGACAGATAGAGGTGGAGGCAAACAATAAAGGTAAAGGCAGCAGCAGCTCGACTAGTGTATTAAGCATTGAGCTTTGTTGTGTTATAAATGGGATTGTTGATGTTTTTATTGTAATAACTTCATTACAACATCTTAAAAATAATGCTGCATTAGTTAATTTGATCTAAAGTAACGTTTTCTAGTTATTGGTAAACATTACACAATAAATTAGGAAATGACCCATGGCTTGGCCCACACTGAATCTGTGCGCACAGAAATCCGCAGATTTTAAGCCCATCGAGTCTATTTACTTACTTGTTTGATTTAATATTTATTCAGTTTTTTAATTAATTTCAGTAATATTATGGACTAATATGAAAGTGTTCATATGATTTATTACAACACAGTTTGTAAAGTGAAATGTTCTGTCTTTTAGTAGATATATTATATAGGCGACTTGCTTTGTTTATAAAACAAGTGGATCTAATTAGATTTGCATTGTCAACATTAAAAGTTAAAAATGTATTATTTTTTTGGTTCAAATATTAAGGTTTTAGTTATGATAACACTCAGTGATGATACTTTTTTTTTACATAATTCTGTGCAGAAATAGCAAAAATCTGCAGATTGTCTCTGGCCCTATCCAAGGCAAATTTAGTATATACGGTATTTTGGTATATATTCGACCCACAGCCCTTAATCAAGTTTTCTTTCGGCCCTTTAAAGTAAAGTTTTTCCACCTCTAGTCTATACAATAGTATAACATTTGCTGAATTGACAGGAGATTAGGAGGGAATCAGGAACTGATGATTATTTGCAGCTGTTAATCCTGAGAAAAAGGTTTTTGATTCAAAGTCAGGGTTATTGGAGAATTTTTCATATCCTTTCACATGGTCCAAACCTTTTCAAGTTTCTTTTCTAAACCGAAAAGAAGATATTTTGAAGAATGTTGGAAACCAGTCGACATTGACCACTGTAGTATTTCCCCCCTGCAATATTTTCCCCCTACTGATCAGTTTCCAACATTGTTTAAAATATATTTTCAGAACGAAGAAAAACTCACTAAGAAATGACTTAAAGGTGAGTAAATGTGATACATTTTTGCGTGAACTATTCCTTCAAATGCTTTAAATGAAGTCTTTCATGCTTTATTCAAGGACTGACTGGTTATTCAACAAAACTGTAATATCTATAAAACTTTATTTTAATAATAATAATTTCTTACATTTTTAAAGAGCTTTTTTGGACAATCAAAGTGCTTTACACATTGAGGGGTGGGGGGGGGGGTCTCCTCATCCACCACCAGTGTGCAGCATCCACCTGGATGACACGACGGCAGCCATATTTCGCCAGACCACACACCAGCTGATTGGTGGAGAGGAGACAGAATGATGAAGCCAATTATGAAATGGGGACGGTTAGGAGGTCATGATCCGCTTGTTAAGAGTGACGTCACGCGAAGCGGCTTCCGTGTCCAAGCGCTCTATTCAACTGAATGGCGAGACTCATGAAATGGTAATAATAAACGTTCACAAAGCGATTTAAGGCTTTCGAAAATCACGATCGCAGTATATATGTCCATGCCTAATATCCGATGACCAGAAAGTGATTATTTTTTATAAATTGTTAAAATTGTTTGGTATTTGTTATGCAGCAAGCCCAGAGGTTGTTGTGTACACTATGATTTTATATAAAGTTTACTTTAATGTGTGATAGGAATAAAACGTGATCATAAACGAATGATCTCTTCACTCAAATGAATGGCGGCTTGGACCTGTAAACAGTATACATGCGTCACAAACACGTCACCACTTAACAAGCGGATAGACAGAGGCCAGTGGGCAAATTTGGCCATGATGCCTGAGGGCCAACTCACACTATGCTATCAATTCAGTTCAGCTTTATTTGTATAGCACTTTTACAATGTAGATTGTGTCAAAGCAGCTTCACATAAATGGTCATAGTAACTGAACAGTGTGGTTCAGGTGTTAGTGTTTAAGTTCAGTTCAGTTTAGCTCAGTTCAGTGTGATTTAATCATTACTGAGAGTTCAAACACTGAATAGCAAATTCATCGATGCGTAGCTCTACCAATCCTGAACCATGCGAGGCAGTGGCGACAGCGGAGAGGGGAAAAAAAACTTCACCTGATGGGAGTGAAGAAAAAAAACCTTGAGAGATCGAGACTCAGTTGGGCACGAAAATTTTAATTTCTCCTCTATCCCGTTTCCCAGATCGTTTGAGAAGTGTGAGTGCGCTGAATCGGTCTCAGTCACGGTTTACTTGGCCGGCCCTGGCCCGGTTGGAAGAGGTGTGCCTAAAGCGCGGTTCACTTGGGCTTTGGC